AGAGAAACATCGATGTGAGAGAGACACATCGATTGGTTGCCTCCTGCATGGGCCTTGACTGGGACTGGATATTGAACCTTCAACCCAGATATGTGCACTTGACCAGGAATTAAACCTGAGACCCTTTGGTCCTAGGGTTGAGCTACACCAGCCAGGGCAGTATACTCCCTTATCTTAATGGTAATAATCTCCAGAATGTAAGGTTGGGATGATTTCTGTTTCATAATCAGAAGTTACTTTTCACTTGGAAAACTTTTTAGAAATGAAGTTACACTAAATAATTAAAAATTGTAATGAAGGAAAGGAGAATGGGAGAATATTTCAAGGAGCAATTAGGATTGAGGAAATGTTTTAGGTTGCAGGATTTAGTTATATTTATAAACTTAGAGGAAAGAGAGAAGAAGAAGGAAGATGAAAGATGCAAGATAGGGGTTAAATGATGATGGAAAATCCTAGAAGATACAGGCTGAAATCAAGGACACACAGACACATTAGCCATGAAGAAGTGAAGAGAATTCCCCACACTCCCAGGATGGGAAACAAACAGATGAAGATGACTAGAGAAATTTCAAGGTAAAGAAGAAAGTTGAAGGATATCAGATAATCATTTTATGGAAGAAGCCTAGTCAGGGTCATTTGCAGATTGGGATTGGTATTTGAGGATATTGAAAAGATTTTCAGTGGGTACTTGGAATGTGGTTAAGAGTAGATTAGAGCTGTAGGAAGTGATTGATTTTCAAGCAGTAAGGATAAGCCTAATTGAAGTTTTTGAATAATATGAATTATAGCCCATGTTGCCTCAGTCTCTTTGAAACAGTCAAACTTCAGGAAACTGAAGTCTACCAGAACAAAAAGATACAGACTGAAGAAGCACAATTTTAATTTTAAAAAATCTTTTGCCTAGGTCTGTATAATTGTATAGGACCTAGTAAAAGGTCTTTGTTCTACCAAACTACTATTAATTATTTTATTACTGTTAATTTTAACACCAGTACACCAATTCTTGTGTTCTGGAACCCGTGGTGTAAGTTGTCATAGTCATCTGTCATTTCTAATTCTTTAGTTCCTTTCTTCTTCTTTCTTGTTCTTCTTTTTCCTTTTTGATTCTAGAGCAGGGGTGGGGAACCTTTTTCTGCCAAGAGCCATTTGGATATTTGTAACATCATTCGCAGACCACACAAAATTATCAACTTAAAAATTAGCCTGCTAGCCCAGCTTGTGTTGCTCAGTGGATTGAGCAGCGTCCCTTGGACTGAGAGGTTCTGGTTTGATTCCCCGTCAGGGTACATGCCCATGTTGCAGGCTGGATCCCCTGTAGGGGGCATGCAGGAGGCAGCCGATGGATGTTTCTCTCTCACATCGATGTTTCTATCCTTTCCCCTCTGTATAAAAAAAATCAATAAAAACATATTTTTTAATTAGCTTGCTATATTTGGTCAGGCTAATTTGTTGAGGCATGTGATGTTAGATGGTATTGATTTCTAGGGCCTTATACATTCCCCACCTCTGTTTAAGAGAGTGGGGAAGGCGGAGAGAGAGAGCTTTTGTGCTTGTATGTGCCCTGATGGGGGATGAAACCCACAACCTTAATGTATTGGGATGATGTTCTAACCAACTGAGCTACCTGGCCAGGGCTGATTTTTTAATTGTCACCTGAGGACATTTTTGCATTTATCTTCAGATAGAATGGGAGGGATTGAGGGAGGAAGAGAGAGAGAGAGAAACATCAGTGTGAGAGAGAGACATTGACTGGTTGCCACCCACGCGATGCCAACTGGGGCCAGGGACAAACTGCAACTGAGGTATGTGCTCTTAGTGGAAACCGAACCCGGGACTCTGTTTGATGGACCTACACTCTGACTGCTGAGCCAAACTAGCCAGGTCACCAGGGCTGATTTATAGTAACAGGAAAAGAACAACAACCTTTTTATCTTGTGAGTCATTGAAAATGAAAATCTTAGGACTTTTCCTTACTGGGCTCAGTGGAAAATTTATTAGGACCTTTTTTTCTTTTTAATTGATTTCAGAAAGAGAGGAAGGGAGAGTGAAAGAGAGATAGAAACATCGTTGAAAGAAGACATTGATTGGCCACCTCCTGCATGCCCCCTACTGGGAATTTGGCACACAACCTGGGCACGTGCCATGACCGGGAATAGAACCGGCGACCTCTTGGTGAATGCCACAGCCACACCAGCTGGGCTTACCTATATTATTTACTCTATTAAAATATACCTGATTTCTCAACTGGAACATTCTCCAATATTACTTGTCTCCAGAGAGCAGTAGTGGAAAAATTAAATGAAGGATTAATTGTAGTGAAAGGATTGCTTAGGGGAGGGGGAAGTATTGGACAAGAGTGAAGGAATTAAAGGTACTAGGGAAAGTTGCATATGATGGAATGTGAAAATAGATCATCATGAGACTGAATAAAAGCTTAGGAGGCAGGTAGAAGGCATAGAAGGTTGTAGATAGAGGGATTTCAGTTTAAGATCTACATAGAGAAGCAGTTTTAAGAATTAAAGAAATTTAAGGAGTCGTCATACTATTACACAGGTTGTCAGATAATTATGTTGAGACAATATGATCAAACTATTAGAAGGGTGGGCCCTCGCTGAATAGTTTAATTGATTAGAGAGTCATTCTAATATAATACTCCAAGATTGCCGGTTCAATCCCTGGTCGGGGCACATACAAGAATTAATCAATGAATGCATAAATAAGTGGAACAACAAATAGATAATTCTTTCTCTCTCTCCCTTTCCTCCCTCTTTAAAACCAATATTTAATAAAAAAGATATTAGAAGAATGAACAGTATGAATGTTAAAAACCTCTAACATTTTATTTTATTTCTTTTTAAAGAACAATTTATTGATTTTTTTTTTTTTTTGAGAGATAAGAAGGGAGAGGGAGAGAGAGAGAAACATCAATGTGAGAGCGCAACGTGATTGGGCTGCCTCTTGCATGCCTCCCACTGGGTATTGATATCAAGCCCATAACCCAGGCATGTGCCCTTGACCTTGGGAATCGAACCAGCAGCCTTTCAATAAATGGGACAATGCCCAGCCAGTTGAGCCACACAGGCCAGGGCAAAAAACCTCCAAAATTTTGGTTCTCAAAAATAGAACATAGCATTTTTAGAATTTAGTTTCCAGTACCCCTTTGTCATAGCAGATTTACCTCATTCCCTGAATGCTCCTCCCTCATGCATTCCTAAAACTGACTAGCACTGGATGTGCAATTTAGTATGAATTTGGAGTTGTGAGAAGGTTTTTAGGAATCATTTCCTCCAGGTCATGAACTTTTGGATGACAGAGAGATTAACTCTCCTTTGGTCACATAACTTGTCAATAGAGTCAGTTAGAAATCTCAGTTTCTCACATTTGATCCCATTCTACCAGTTGTCTGTCTTTTAAAAAGCATCTCAAATCTTTCTTTAAAAAGTAAACTCTTAAAATTGTATGAAGAGGCAATACGTAGAGTCTCAAAGGGGTCTAGGTTCAAAATGGGTTTGGAATCTCATCGGCCAAGGGGAGGGGAGCAGTTTCAAAACTGACTCTTCATGCATTTAGTTTATATGCTGGGGTTGTTGAGCCTTCCTGCAGACAATTAACACTAACCAGGTGCTAATTGGCAGTTACTAAGCTGTTCCCTTTAATCAAAATAAGCATTTGAGAAACCCTCAAAGCATTGCTTGTCATACCCTACTGTCTACACATATCTGGAGATTTTATTAAAATTCTAGTTCAGAGAAAGTAGGTCGAGAGTGGAGTCCAAGATTGTATATTTCTAACAGGCTCATATGTATTGTCTTTGTCTTCTGATTCAAGAACCATACTTTAAGAAGAAAGGCCTTAGCCCTGGCCAGTTTGGCTCAGCGGTTAGAGCTTCTGCTTGCGGTCTAGAGAGACCCGGGTTCGGTTCCCGCCAAGGGCGCGTACCTTGGTTGCAGTTTGTCCCAGGCCCTAGTTGGGTCATGTGGGTGGCAGCCACTCGATGTCTCCCCTTTACATTGATGTTTCTCTCTCTCTCTCCCCCTCCCACTCTATCTGAACAAAATATGGAAAAAATGTCCTCAGATGAGGATTTAAAAAAAAAAAAAAGGAAGAAAGGCCTTAAAGTACTTCTGGGTACAGAGTTTGAAATAATAAATGATGCTGCCTCTCTGTTTTGGTTTTTTAAATGTATTAGCTTTTATTTTGTTCAGGTTTGTTCAGGATTATGGTCCAGGATTATGGATTAATACTTACAGGATAGTAGGTATCAGAGCCTTAGCTGAGACACCTGCAAACTGGCTAACACATGTTCCACTTTTAAATCCCTGGCGAGGTTCCCCTTGGGAAAAGGAATCAACTATATTTAGCTGGCAGTATTAATAAAGTTCAGAATGACATTTCCTGTTAGTGTCCTTTCCCCTTTTTCTTTCCTTCCAATTGATGTCATTGGTTTGAAAAAATGATAGTTCCTTTAAAAACAAAAAAGGTCTTGGGCACCTGTCTTCTAGCTCATGAACTTTAAACATTTTGCTGAATGGAAGGAGAGCATCCCATGGGAATTAAGTATACTTCTTTCTCCTAACGTGGAACAGTCAGCCCTGCCCCAAACTTGTCCCGATCCTAAAAGCCTATAGAAATCAAGAAAATTATGACGTTATCTGTGCTTCTTATAAAATAGTGCCCTTTCTCAGACATTTGGGACTTAGAAAATTTGACTGTTTCTGCTTACACAGAGCCTCAGTAGACTTATTTGAAATCTGAACCAGTGTGCCTAATAGTTAAATGGTCCCAAACCCTGATTCCTCATTCTGTTACTGCATGGTCTCTCTGGGTTATATATAAGACCCTACCCAAGAACTGTTTATATATTTGATATGGCTAGCCAGAAATTAGAAAGATTTTTTCAAACTTCTAAAACTTTGACTTTTGGTCTTCCTGCTAGTTTTTGCTAAATTAAAGAGCATTTTCCCCTGCCTCCCTTTCCTTTATACCCTTTTCTTACCCAGAGTGAACACAAATGGATCAGATGACCCTGAGGATGCAGGGTCTGGTGAAAATAGGAAGGTCAATGGGAATAATTCTCCATCACTCTCAAATGGCGGTTTTAAGCCTTCTAGGCCTCCAAGACCTTCACGACCACCTCCACCTACCCCACGCAGACCAGGTGTGTATTCCAGCCATACATTAGGGATATAACTCTTATACTGTGATTGTAAATGATGTTCTGTTTGGCAGTTGACCCTCAGGTAAGTTGTCAAGAGGCCCTTTTAGGTTGGTTTTCTAGCTGTATTTTTACATTAAAGTTTTTTGCCAAGAATGATCTTTCTGTAAGTAATTACCTTTTTCCTAAGTTTTTCCTCCAGGTGTGAAGTTAATGAGGTATGTGTTGTATTCATAATGAAAATCAGGTGTACATTATATAAAATATAGGCAGTATAGATAAGATTGCAGCTTTCTGTCAGGGTTTATAACTGTGTGGACATTAGTATGCCATAGAATCAAGGATCTTATTCTCATTATATCCTTTAGAATAGTGGTTCTCAACCTTCCTTAATGCCACGACCCTTTAATACAGTTCCTCATGTTGTGGCGACCCCAACCATACAATTATTTTCGTTGCTACTTCATAACTGTAATTTTACTACTGTTAGTGAATTACATCAGAAATATGTGTTTTCTAATGGTCTTAGGCGACCCCTGTGAAAGGGTCGTTTGACCCCCAAAGGGGTCACGACCCACAGGTTGAGAACCGCTGCTTTAGAAAGACAATTAGTAAATGGCAAGTAATGCTAAATGATACTCCGATTTTAAAGGAAAAAATTATTATACAACAAATGTAGTAAAAATTTTAAAGGAAAAAATTATACAACAAATGTAGTAAAAATATAACCATCTACAGATAGACTATCCATTTTTTCCCCAACTAGCCAGAACAAATCTTTAATCTGTTATTATTTCCCTCTGCTAGTATGTAGACAGGGAATGTAAGATAATTTAACCAAATGTTATTAGAAAAGTAAATTGATTGTCCACAAATCATTTTGTTAAATGACTATGTTTAATTATACATCTTCCCCCTTTTCCTGTAGATAATTGTGTTAACAATATATTCCCAGTCTTCAAGGTCATATACTACTTTGTTATAATATTGGTGACTTCCTCTAGGTGTTGTTTTGTCAACAAGTATTTCTTGAAGATGCAATATGTACTTAATAACTATTTGTAAGATTATTGCTTATCAGTCAGATCTTCCATATTATAACTAACATCCAAAATTGATCTCTGATCTGCAAGGTCTCATTAGAAATACAATTTTAAGAATCTAGAAAATTATTAAATGAACTTAATAATATTCCAATAACCATGGAATACCAACACTTACCTATTCTAAGAGTTTTTATTTCCTGTGGCATCAGGAAATCAGAATCTCTGCTTCATAATTAAAATGGGGCATGTGAAAGACAGAGCCTTAAAAAATGTAAACAAGACTATTTAGTGGGACCATTGGCTATTTCCCATTATTTATTTTACTTAAGTAATTTTTACCTGCTTATCCACATACTAAATTTTATGTTTTCCGTCTACCTTTTTATTTTTTAAAGGTAAAATTTTATTCTGATTTCTGAAAATAAAAGTTTGTTTTCTTTTTTTCCAAATCTTTTATAGCATCTGTCAATGGTTCACCACCTTCAGCCACTTCTGAAAGTGATGGATCTAGTACAGGTTCTCTGCCTCCAACAAATACAAATTCAAATACATCTGAGGGAGCAACGTCTGGATTAATAATTCCTCTTACTATATCTGGGGGCTCTGGCCCTAGGCCATTAAATCCTGTACCCCAAGCTCCCTTACCACCTGGGTGAGTAACTGTTTTTGATTAACATTTATTTTCTTTGGGTGTCTATATATACTTATTAATAAGGAAAATATTACGGAACTCCCCATTCTTTAAAAAACTGTCCTCAAACAATTGTAATTGATTTTGGTGGGGATCTAGAATCAAATTGAACCCCAGAAAAGCTTGCCATATTTAAGTTTTCACCCTAATTTTCAGGGCGAAGTGGAAGTTTTTTTTTTTTTTCCTGAAAGACTCTGAACCATAGAAAGTTAACCAAGGCCAAGTAGTAAAATAGTCACCTTATTCAGATTGCTTTTTTAAAAATATGTTTTCATTGATTTTTTTAGAGAGAGAGGAAGAGAGAGAGAGATAGAAACATCAATGTGAGAGAGAAACATCAATTGGCTACCTCCTACACACCCCCTACTGGAGATCAAGCCTGAAATCTGGGCATGTGCCCTGACTGGGGACTGGGAATTGAACTAGGACCTCACAGTCCATGGGATGATGTTCAATTCACTGAGCCAACAGGTTGGGCTGTTTTTTTGTTGTTGTTTTTTTAAATACTTTTATTGATTTTTTTAGAGAGGAAGGGTGGGAGAGAGAGAAACATTGATCAGCTGCCTTTTGCATGCACCCTACTGGGGATCTAGCTGGCAACCCAGGCATGTGCCCTGACCAGGAATCCACTTTGCCATACCAGTGAGGCCAGATTGTTGTGGTTTTTTTTTGGAGGGGGGGGGGGATAAAAATAGGACACTGAGAAAATTAGTACTCATAATCCCATTTTAATCACTACTGGTTAATTTTTAAATTAATAATACTCTAATAGAGTGTGTGTGTGTGTGTGTGTGTGTGTGTGTGTGTGTAGTGGCATTCAAATTAATCCAGAGCTCAGAATGCTAATCAAAATTAATTGACTGGCTAATATATTAATAAACTCTCATGATGAGAATTTTATTTGCTAAACAGATTATATATTACTTGTGTGGATAATTAGGCCTTATTCCTTTTGGAAAGCCTCCATGGGAAGACAAATTAGAAAGTTGTTTGTGCAAGGGATTTTGACAAAGAAACTGGGTACTCTTTTTTTTTTTTTTTTTTTTATCCTCACCCGAGGACATTTTTCCATTTTTTTGTTCAGGTAGAGTGGGAGGGAGAGAGAGGAACAGAGAGAGAGAGAGAAACATCGATGTGAAAGGAACACATCGAGTGGCTGCCACCCGCACAACCGACCAGGGCCGGGGACAAACTGCAACCGAGGTACATGCCCTTAGCGGGAACCGAACCCGGGTCTCTCAGGACCGCAGGCCGACGCTCCAACCGCTGAACCAAACCGGTCAGGGCGAAACTGGGTACTCTTAAAGCAATTGGTGGTCCTAGGCTATGGTGGTTTAGTCTTCTTCACTTTGGAGATAAACCTACCTAGGAGACTAGAATACTCAGAATGGCTTTTTGCAGTGTACTGTGCAGAGACTCCTGATGGAGTCTTACTCTTTGATTTTAGTGTTTATAGAGCCCAAATAGTTTTGTCTTTTCGTTAGCAGTCTTTAAGTTTTTCTTCAGATGTCATAGCTTTGATGATAGCTTTCTTTTCCTCTCAAGTCCTGCATATACCCTGATCAGATTGAGATAGACTTTGTCTCCTGAATGGGTCATCCTCAAGCTTCTTTAGAAATACAAGGCTTCTCCTAGAGCAGATACTTGATACTTCTGTAGAAGAAATCTCGTCCACTGTGTGTCACCCTCAGGATGACATTTCTTGATTTTGTTTCTAAATTCTTTTTGTATCTTTTGTATATACTGACATGCTTATTTGCCTCGGTTCTATAATATGGTCATGTAAGAGAAAAAGGCAAAGATAGGATTGAAAGTCTAGGTTACTCTTACAAGTACCATAGCCGCTTTTTAAATTTTGTGTTTAAGTTGGGAGCAGAGAGTGGACCAGCATGGGCGAGTTTACTATGTAGATCATATTGAAAAAAGAACAACGTGGGATAGACCAGAACCTCTACCTCCTGGGTAAGTATCTGCATTAAAGAAGAAAAAAACAATTTATTCAGAACTATAGATTATGTCTGTAGAAAATCGTCACTACATTCTTACTTTTCAGCTCTTCCTGTCTTTTCTCTGTCCACTTTGTTTTGTGGTAGGTGTAAACAAAAAAGAAGAGAGTCAGAAAATAGATGGAGCATAATGAATGCTTTTAATTTTTCACTTATTTCTGACCTAAAGATTCTATAGGTCTTGCTACTTCCAAGTTTCCCTTTCTGAACTTTAACTGCTTTAAACTACAGAGTTTTAGGATTAGTTTCTTTAAGAGTAATTATTTAACTGAATAAGAATTATAATCCCTATCATATATATGAGGATAAAGTCCTTATTATATTAAAAAATACTTTATAATAGTGAAGTCATTGTAAAATAATTGGGGGAATAAAGAATATTTATTATTATTTTTAATCCTCACTTGAGGATGTGTTTATCGAAATGAGAGAGAAGCATTGATGTGAGAGAGAAACATTGATTGGTTGCCTCCTGTATGTGCCTTGACCAGGGATTGAACCCACAACCTAGGTATGTGCCCCAACCGGGAATCAAACCCGCAACCTTTTGGTGTATGGGATGATGCTCCAACCAACTGAACCACCTGGCCAGAGCTAAAGAATATTTTAATACAAAGTGTTAAGCATTGAACATTTACATTATATAATTAAAAGAAAAGTATTTTTATTTAAGGGAAGTCAGTAGCAAACATGGGGAAATATTTAATCTTGCTAGTATTCTTTAATACACACCTAAAAGGTACTGTTTTACTTATTAAATTATTAGATAATATATCCTGTGAAATTGTGGAGGAACTTTACCTCATAACATAGCTGGTGGTGGTATAATTACAGTGTTACAGTTCTTACAGGAAGTATATATAACCATAATAATGCACATACTCTTAGTAATTCCCTCAGAAATTTATCCTAAAGAAATAATGCAAAAGAACAAAATAATTTTGATATATTAAAGGTATTATTTTATCATTTATGATACCAGAATATTGGAAAGAACCCTAAACAATCAACCAGATAGAAATCACAAAGTTGTTGTATCATTGTTTATTTAATATTATACTTCTATTTGAAATGATAAATTAGGTCATTATATTCTTGTGGAAAAATGCTTTTTGATATCTGTGAAAAGCTATATATAAGAATTAAGTCCCTGTTAAGGTTGCAAAAATCACAAGAACATTGAGAAAATGAGAACTTTTTTCTTAATGACTGTCTGAGACTTACTAAATAGACATTGTGTTTAAGTTCATTTGTAGACCATTTCAGAATACGTAAAATAAAAAGCTTCAGGTAAATCAATAGTAGTTTCTCAAAGTAAAATGTTACCAAACATGCACCAGGGCCAATACGAAGCCCTGTTTAATTCTTATCTGTTTCACAAGTATTTGTTGAATTAGGTTGTTTTTGTTCTGATATAGCTGGGAACGCAGGGTTGACAACATGGGACGTATTTATTATGTTGACCATTTCACAAGAACAACAACGTGGCAGAGACCAACATTGGAATCCGTCCGGAATTATGAACAGTGGCAGCTCCAACGTAGTCAGCTTCAAGGAGCAATGCAGCAGTTTAATCAGAGATTCATTTATGGGGTGAGCAACCTACTGCATTATAAACTTAATAAGACTATTTGGTTTTTAACCTCTTCCTATATATGAACTGTAAAGCACTAACTAGAAGGAAGGTATAAGTAGGATGGCAACCCAGTTGTTGCTGTTGATATTATTTTTAGACTTTATCTTGACTATTCTATGTACGTGATCTGTTCTTTCCTCTTTGAAATTTCCTGAAGTTCAACCTCCTTTATTTTGTTAATGTCAAAAATAAAAAAGCTGTTAGGACAACCTAAAAGTCATGGACAAAACAATAGTAGCAATAAACCCAAGCAATTTGAAAAGAATTAAAAGAGTTTTAAGTTTAGTACTTCCTAACTTAGTGGAACATTTGAGGGTTTAGGTCTAAGAACATCTAACTCTTGAGTGGTTGTACCAGAACTTATGATAGAATTGAATCACTTTGTAATGTATAATTGAATCACCTCATACATTTTTTGGTGCTGTGGAAGACTACAGAAATTTGCTTTCTTATAGGATTATGCTAAATACATTCTGGCTTCAAAACCAAATGATCTTTGCTAGAAAACATTTCCTTTTTGAAAATGGTTTAAATGTACATATTTTCCTTTAGAGTAATATTGCAGCAATAGTGATATACACCAAAATATATTAATGGCTTGTTGTATAATCTTTGGTGCTAGGAACTTTATAATCTCTCAAATCACAGATCTTTTCTTTGAGGAAAGAAAAATAGTCCTTGGAGAAATTTGATTCTATGTGCCAAACAAGAGGGATTTGTTTTGAGTAATATATAGAACCTAAACAGGAGAAAGTCAACTTTCCAAGACTTTAAGAGAAGCCGACCCTCTTCATTGCCATCTCTTCCCCTCTACCACCATCTGTACAATCTCTGTCAGGATCCATTGAAGTAAATTCATGTCTTCACTAGGCATTACCTTGTTTTCTTTTCTCCATGTTCCTGTGTATTTCTTGGACCTCATCACCATAATAGATTTCACGCACTCACAACTTCACCATTATCACCAGCCTTCCCTGGTTATGACTAAAATAACTTTATTTATTTTCCTCACCCGAGGATATTTTTACATTTATCTTCAGATACAGTGATAGGGAGAGAGAAATATCAGTGATAGAGCCACATCAACTGGTTGCCACCCACACGACCCGAACTGGGGCCAGGGAAATAATACAACTGAGGTATGTGCATTTGGCCAGAATCAAACCCGGGACTCTTTGGTCCGTAAGCCAACGCTCTAACCACTGAACCAAACTAGTCAGGGCTAAGGTAACTTTTTTTTATATAACAATTTTTCCAACCACCTTCTGTAGACAGCTATCACTATATTCCCTTTCCCAGTCATTTTAGAGGTAAAATTAATTTTTGTCTCTTGTCTACCTTACCCTTTTTTTCTGTGCTGTTTTACATTTTCTTTTTTTTCTAAATTATAATTACCCTTGATACACATGGACAAATTTCATACGGGTTTGAACGCCTTGCTTTCCTGCCATTTTTAAAGCTAGTTTCCACATTGGTGTCCAGTGGAAATAGATAGCATGGGCTTTGGAGTCAGACATATGTGGGTTTGAATCCTGGTTCCACAGTTACTTTCTCTATATGATTTGAGTAAGTTATTTAACCTTATCAAGACTCATAACTTTGTAAAATGCATATAATTACCTCAGAGGGTTTTCTTGAGAACTTTGTAAAAGAAAGTTTCTCCTATGTTCAGCACATACTACATGCATAGAAGTATTAGAGTTAATCTTTTCTCTCCCTCATATCCACAGTTGTAAATGAGCCCTTTATCTCAATTTTGCAGTGTACAGTCTTTTAAAACCTTCTATTAAAGGCAGATTAGCAAATTTCTGGAGCACCTACAGCCCTATAGCATAATGCTTCATTGTAAACCCGACCAATTTGATATTCAAAGTCTTTGGAACTTTGCTTGAATTGCAGCTTTTACCTCATTGTCCATAGGTTTTTCTTGTTCTTTGTTTGTTTTTCTTTTCTCCTGTCCAAAATAATATGACCAATTTTCTGAAGTTCTTACTTTTTGCTCTTGCTGTAGAACCGTTTTAAATCATAAAGAACTTATTTTAGTTATCCTTAACTTAGCCAGAATCATGAACTGAATTGAACATTCCTGTTTTAAAAGATATTTTGTATTTCTAACTCTCTCCCCCTCTTCCTTCTTTTCTTTCTAAAAATTAATAAAGAAAAAAACTTTTTTTAAAAAAAAGCCTGGCTGGTGTGGCTCAGTGTTTGAGCATCAACCCATGCACCAAGGGGTTGCCAATTCTATTCCTGGTCAGGGCACATGCCCAGGTTGTGGGCCCGATCCCCAGAGGGGGGCGTGCAGGAAGCCAACAGTTGATGATCTCTCTCATGGATGTTTCTAACTCTCCCTCTTCCTTCCTCTCTATAAATTAATAAAGAAAAAAAAAATTTTTTTTAAGATATTTTAAAATTGATTGGAGAGAGGAAGGGAGAGGCAGAGAGAAACATCCATGAGAAAGCCATCTATCGGCTGCCTCCTGCACGCCCCATACTGGGGATTGAGCCCACAACCCCTTCATGTGCCTTCACTGGGAATCGAACTGGCGACCGTCTCTGGGTTACATGAATGACGCTCAACCTACTAAGACACAGAGGCCAGGGTGAATTGAGCATTCTTTTTTTCTTTATTGAGAGAGGAAGAGGGAGGGGGAGAGAGAGAGAGAAACATCAGTGAGAACATCAATTGGCTGCCTCCTGCATGTCCCCCACTGGGGATCGGGCCCACAACCTGGGCATGTGCCCTGACTGGTAATCGAATTGGTGACCTCTTGATGAATGGGTCGACACTCAGCCAATGAGCCACACTGGCCAGGTGAATTGAACTTTTTTTTTTCTCTTTTAGCCTCACTCAAGGACATTTTTGCATTTATCTTCAGATAGAGCGGGAGAGAGAGACAGGGAGGAAGAGAGAGAAACATCGACATGAAACAGACACATCGAGTGGTTGCCACCCACCCGACCCCAACCGGGGCTGGGGTACGTGCGCTTAGCGGGAACCGAACCCGGGACTCTTTGGTTCGTAGGCCGACGTTCTAATCGTTGAGCCAAACTGGCCAGGGCGAATTGAATGTTCTTATTACCAGCTACTTACAAAGTTATGGGATTGTGGGGTGTTGCTGAAAAAGTCTATTAATTGGGCATATGAAATTGCCTTTGTTCTGACCCTGGTTATAGGGTAGTAGACTCTCATATACCAGCATTTTTAACTTCAGAATGTATGTGGTTGATGATGTAACACTGTGATAATTTTTCCTGGTCCATGACTTTCTAGTTCATCTGTCCAGAGAGAGTCCGAGGGAGTCAGAGGGATAGGTTTGGGTATTAGAACATTATCAAAACAGCTTGTCATATGCCAAACTTTCAGACCTGTTCTATAATCAGGGTTCAGGCCCTTTATAGTGTTTCTTCCTTGCCTCCCTACTCTTTCTCCTTTTCATAATTGTATCTGTCAAGGGGAGCAAGGCCAGTTCTTGACAGATCTATCTTGCAAGAGTTGTTAAATCAGAAATGGGCATCTCTCTTAAGTTTTAAAACTTTTAACTCAGTTTCTGCAGTAAGTGAGTAGTGACATGGGGAAAAAATAAGAGTTGGAGGAACTACTATAGATTGAATGTTAAGGAATCAACCAAATGTAATGTGAAGACTATAGATTCTGATTTGAACAAATAAGCAGTTAGCAGCATTTAATTAGGGGTAGGGGCCCCACCAATATGGCTTAGTGGATTGAGCATCGTCCCATGGACTGAGAGGTCCTGGTTCCATTCCCAGTCAGGGCACATGCCCAAGTTGCAGGCTTGATCCCCAGTAGGGGTCGTGTGGGAGGCAGCAAATCAGTCTTTCTCTCTCACATTGACATTTTTCTCTCTCTCTCTAAAAAATCAATAAAATCGTATTTTTAAAGTTATAATTAGGGAGTGGGTATTAGATGATAAAATCATTGATTTTTGCTAGGTGTGGTAATGATACTATGGTTATGTAAGAATATGTTTACACATTTTAGAAAGGCATACAAAATAGGGGTGAAATGATAACTGATTTTCTTCAGCAAAGAATAGGAAAATAAAGATAAAGAAATATGGCAAAGTCTTGATAATTATTGAATCATGGTGCTGGGTATATGAATTACACTGTCCTATTTTACTTGTTTATATTTTCCTTGTAATAATTACTTTTTAAACAGTAATCTATTATTTATTTGCCTTATCTTACTAAAGGAGAAAGGGCTTAACGAAAGAGACTACAAATTATCCCTACTTTATTATACATTTAACTGAACACACACATTAGTCCTACACAGAATCAGTATTACATTTCTATTTCTTTTTTCAGTGGTCGACTCCTGCTTTTATCTAGACAAATCGTTCTCTCCACCATTGTGATAATTGCAAACAAATTTAAGAAGTCTTTTATGTAATTCTAGGCTTGTCAACTTCTTTCAACAGGAATTCTTTCCTTTCATTCATTTGACAGCCTATTCTTCCTGCTCCCCCAACTCTTTTCCCATAGTTCTTTGTATATACTATGTTCTGTATGTGATCCTTTCTTTTTGAGTTAGAAATACAAGATTTTTCTCAGTTCTCTGATGATTTGGTACTGTTTTTTTATAAAGGACTTTTATGGGGTTATATACAGGGGTTGGCAAAAGTAAGTTTACAGTTGTTTGTATGGAAAATAATACAATAAATAATAAAACAATAAATTCTGTTTCACTTACAACTTTAAACTTACTTTTGCTCACCTCTGTATTTTTGTGACTTACTGATTTGTATTTAAGAAAGAAAAAAAGTGGTCATTTGGGAGTGAAGATTGTATATTTGTTATATTTGAAGTTCAAATACTTTCAAATGTTAAATATTTTTTGCAAAGATTTTTTTTTTCTTCCTCCAACAGAGTGTATTGTCATTTATCCATGATGTTGTAACATTTCTCTAAGATGTGAACTCTCTCTAAGAGTGTGTTAGGTTGCACATGGCCAGGAAAGGCATATCAAAACTCATAAGCTTGCTCTCAAGTTGTTTGTTTAAGTTCAGTATTTTACCTTTGTTATTGTTGTTCTTTTTAGAATCAAGATTTGTTTGCTACATCACAAAATAAAGAATTTGATCCCCTTGGTCCCCTGCCACCTGGATGGGGTAAGTTTCATAAATTTTTTCATTGAATTTGGTTATTTTACAAATCAGATATTTATGGGTGATATCTTTTGCTTGAATGAATATCTTGAGAATATTTTGGGGTGTGTTGGTTCAATTTAGAGTGCCAAATAGGCATTACATTTCCCCAAAGTTCTAAGTTGACCTTTTATTACAGTAAACTTTTATTGGAATGGAGAATTATTTTATTATTCTAAAGCTTAAAAATGTTTTGTTTAGCGATAAAAAGAATGGATTATTGATACATACAGCAATCTGATAGACCTCAAGGACATTATGCTTAGTGAAAACAGTCAATCTCAAAAGATTATATACTGTATGATTCAATTTATATAACATTCTCAAAAATGCCAAAACTGTAGAGATTGAAAAGAGATTATTAGGTATCAGGAGACAGAACCAATGGTAGCTGGACGCAAATACAGGAGGTAACATAAGTGGTTCTTATGTGGTGGTGGAAGAGTTCTATATTTTGACCATGGTGATGATTACACAAATTTATACATGGGATAAAAGTGCATAAAAGTACACATTCACATAAATGAATTCAGCTTTAAAAATTGGTGAAAATGGAATAAAACCTGTAGTTAACAGTAATTTACCCGTGTCAATTTCTTGATTTTGATATTGTACTATAGTAATGTAAGCTGTTACCATTGGGGGAAACTGGTTGAAGGATACAAGAGATTCCTTGAATGACTTTTGCCACATCTTGTGAATAATAATTATTTCAAAATAAAAAACTTAAAAATATTTTAATCACATTGGTGCTTCCAAAACACAGTTCAGAGTGTGGTTGGGTTGATGTTACCTGAAAGAACAGTGGAAAGGGCACGTATAAGGATGGTGACCTACACCATGGAACATATGATCATGCTTTGTTATTGAGTATATTTAGTAACTTTGTTAACACACCAGATTCTTTTTTGGGGGTTTTTTAAAAATATGTTTCTATTGATTTTTTTTAGAGAGAGAGAGAAACATCGATGTGAGAGATAAACATTGATCAGCTGTCTCCTGCACGCCCTTACTGGGGATTGATCCTGAAGCCTGGGCATGTGCCCACACTGGGAATTGAACTGGGACCTCCCAGTCCCTGGGACAGTGCTTAATACACTGAGCCACACTGGCTGGGTCAGATTCTGTTTTATAATGTTATATGTCATTGCACTTTAGCAAGTTTCCAGAATATACTATATGGCAGTATAGAAACAGTTCTTCATGTAAGCCAAAGAGAATATAGAAAGCGGAATACAGCAAAGTAAAGCCCATTATGGAAACAGAGCTGTAGATATTTCATAATTCAGAAATTTGGGGCAAATTCAGAAAGTGATAATGTCTAAAGAGTCTTGTTGGGAAGCATTAGTTCATAAGAGAGATTGCTTTAACATTACTTTACTGAGGAATGTAGGGAAAAAAGTTGATGTGTCAACATCACATGAATCTGGGCAATAAACGATACTGGCTGTAGAAGTCTACCTTTGAGAAACCCCTGTTGCTCTTGAGAAGTTTTTTTATTCTTAATACTTCTGTGAGTCAAAAAATATAATAGATCATACTTATAACAATTATTGTTACCAGCTTGAAACAAAAGGAAGGCATGAAAAAGTTGTAAATTTCTGTCTTCACCAAAGCCGGGCAGTTTGGTAAGGAGTCTTTTGGCTCTGTTGGAGCCTCAGAGTGAACACTGTATGGTTGATATGAAGTTACTTTAGAAGAGGGGATGTTGCCCTAATGAGGCATATTGATCCAGACCTGTCATATTGCATTCCCAGACATGGATGGATTTCTCAGCTTTATTTCTTGAGTTGTCTATGTTGTCTTATAAAGGAGAAACTGATGCACTGGAGGAATATATGTGAAGATCATGTATTTATGCTTTTAATTCTATTGCAGAAAAACCATGATCCAATGGCTTCTGTCAGAAACATAGGCCATTTGACTCCTTCAGAGCAGCTGTAAGAAAAATTGCCTCTTGCTCATAGAAGCATGAATTGCAGGCATTGTTGCCTTGATTCAAAAAGCTTTTCCTGCAACCCAGTCCTTGCCTCCTGTATTTATCAGTATCCTTATCATCAGGATTTTTCTCATCGTCCTAAAATACTTCCTCTAAACACCTAGTCTCAACATGTCTGGGTTATAAGAATGTTACCTTGCTTATTTTACATACATTCTGCTTATTCTAGGCGTCACACTCCTGAAGTTGAAGTGTACTGCCCTTCCTAAATGAGTTCATGATCATCCTATTACGCAGATTGAGCACTGCTTGTGACTGTCTGCCTTTGGTGCATATACTTTATTTGTGGAACCAGTGATAGCACTGGTACTATAACAGATGAATCCACCTGACATACCTGATTTGTTGATGGCAGCCATTCCGGCATTTGTGAGGTGATACCTCATCGTTGTTTTAATTTGCATCTCTCTGATGATTAATGACGTTGAGCATTTCTTCATATTTCTCTTGGCCATTTGTATCTCCTTTCTGAAGAGGTGTCTGTTTAGGACCTCTGCCCATTTCTTAATTGGGTTTTTTGTCTTCCTTTTTTTGAGTTGTATGAGTACTCTATATATTTTGGAGATTAACCCCTAAAGTAGGAGGGATCATAATACCAGCTATCAGTTTACACTGCAAAGCCATTGTAATAAAAACAGCCTGGTACTGGCCCAAGAACAGATATATAGATCAGTGGAACAAGACAGAGAACCCAGAAATTGACCCAAGACATTATGCTCAATATTGGACAAAGGTGGCAAGACCATATAGTGGTGTAAAGACAGCCTATTTAATAAATGGTGTTGGGAAAATTGGACAGCTACATGCAAAAAAAAAAATGAAATTATACCACCAACTTACACCATATTCAAGAATAAACTCAAAATGGGTAAGAGACTTAAATGTGACTTGTGAATCCAAAGAAATCCTAGAAGAAAATGTGGGCAACAAAATTTCAGACATCACACGCAGCAGAATTTTCACTGATACAACACCTAAGGCAAGAGAAACAAAGGAAAAATGAACACATAGAACTATATCAGACTAAAAAGCTTCTGCACAGCAAAAGAAGCAAGCATCAAAATGGAAAGGGAACCTACTATATGGGAGAGTATAATTGCCAACGATACATCAGATAAGGCATTAATCTTCTCATCCTTTTAGTCTTTTATATGCCAGACCAGACATTATTTTCTTGAAGTGAAGAATTTTTTAACACAAGCAAACTCTAGAGGCTGGATAACAAAGAATATTTTTTGTTCAAAAATGTAGTCTAATAGGCCTTTGTACTCTTCAAGTATTTCATTTTCAAAGTTGCTATGAAAGAATACATTGAAGAAGAAGAAGCTTCTGCTTTTTACTGTTTTATTCATCAAGTCAGGAAATGCTTGATGTGCTGTATAAGTTTGTAATTTCATATTATCATGTGATTTTTCAAAAAAGTAAAAAAATTAGTCCTATAGCCATAGTTCTTTCTTTCACTGAGCAGATGAGCCTTCAATTAGCAAGTTACATCCACCTCTTCCAAGAAATGCTGATATCAGCAGTATATACTTAAAACAGAATAGAAAATAAGTTTCCTATTAACTTTATCTTCATGTTAGCTTTTGAGGAGAAAATTCTTGGCCCTGAAATCTGAACTTTCATGGTAGATAAAAGATGAATATATGCTTAGCTATGCACTTAAGGTCTTATTTTTATTTATTTAATTAATTTAAAAAATTATTTTTTTTATCCTCACCTGAGGACATTTTTCCATTTTTTGTTCAGATACAGTGGGAGGGAGAGAGAGGGAGAGAGAGAGAGAGAGAAACATTGATGTGAAAGGGACACATCAAGTGGCTGCCACCTGCACGACCAACCAGGGCCAGGGACAAACTGCAACTGAGGTACATGCTCTTAGCAGGAACCAAACCCTGGTCTCTGGACTGCAGGCCAATGCTTCAACCTCTGAGTCAAACCAGCCAGGGCAAGGTGTTATTTTTAGATGATAAAAATTACTCTACAAAGTTCTTAGGAATCAAGAAATTTATAGATTCTGCAAATATAGTTTTAAAATTTTTTTTTTAATCCTCATCTGAGGACATTTTTCCATTTTTTGTACAGATAGAATGGGAGGGAGAGAGAGGAAGAGAGAGAGCGAGAGAAACATCGACGTGAAAGGGACACATCGAGTGGCTGCCACCCGCACAACCAACCAGGGCCGGGGACAAACTGCAACCGAGGTACGTGCCCTTAGCGGGAACGGAACCCGGGTCTCTCCGGACCGCAGACCGACGCTCTAACCGCTGAGCCAAACCGGCCAGGGCGCAAATATAGTTTTAAATATTAAGTTTAATGTGGCTGCCAAGAACATGAACTTATTTTGTTATCATATAGCCAACTATAGCACTGTGGGTGCTTCTTTTTGCCTGAGAATCAACCTTAAAGTTAGTTGCATGTTTCCACACTCAAGATGCCATGATCAGCGAAGCCAGTGTTAATATTCAGTGTCATAAGATGCAGAGTCCTATTCTTCTATAAATGATGCACACCTAGAATTCTATTTCCATTTTAGTCTCAACTGATAGAAAGAAAGTAGCTGATATGTTAGGAGTGTGTTCATGATATTCACAAATATGACACCCCCCCATCACTGCTACATGAAATTATGGAAGTTGTGTTGGAGATATAATTAAAAGTTATCAAATACTCTCCCAACTGATGTGGCTCAGTGCTTGAGCGTCGACCCATGCACCAAAAGGTCGCCAGTTTATTTCCCAGTCAGAGCACATACCCAGGTTGTGGGCTCAATCCCCAGTGGGGTGCATGCAAGAGTTGGCCAGTCGATGTTTTCCATCATCGATGTTTCCCTTCTTCTCCCTTCCTCTCTCTCTAAAATCAATAAAGGGCAAAAAAAAAAAAAAAGTTAAATAGTAACTTGACAAGGCTATATAATTTGTCCTAAGACTCATCCTGCAGTTTCTTACTTAGAGAAAGATTCATCCCTGGCCGGTTTGGCTCAGTGGTTAGAGAGGCAGCCAGCGGACCAGTGAGTCCTGGGTTCGGTTTCTGCTCAGGGCATGTACCTCGGTTGCAGTTTGTCCCCAGCGCTGGTTGGGGTCATGTGGGTGGCAGCCACTCGGTGTGTATCTCTCACATCGATGTTTTTCTCTCTTTCTCCCTCTCTCTCTCCCCCCCGCTCTATCTGAAGATAAATGCAAAAGTGTCCTCAGGTGAGGATAAAAAAATAATAATAATAATAAAAAAGAGAGAGACTTCCGGTCAAGATGGCGGCATAGGTAAATGCGGTAGCATGTCCCACAACCACATCAAAGTTACAACTAAACTACAGAACAACCATCATTCAAAACCGCCTGAAATCAAGCTGAATGGAAGTCCTACAACTACGGAATTAAAGAAGATGCTACATCAAGACTGGTAGGAGGGGTGGAGGCGAACGGGCTGGTCCCACACCCATGTGTGGTGGATAAAAATCAAGAGGCTACCTTGGCTGGGAAGGTCCTCCCTGAGGACTGAGGGGTCCCTGTCCCACACCAGGTACCCCGCTAAGGGTTTCAGTGCTAGGAAGAGAAGTCCCGATAACTTCTGGCTGGAAAAACCAGTGGGAACTGAGGCTCAGGCTCAGGGAGGCTGAGGTGGCCGGAGCCCCAGGCAGCTCCTCTGAAAGGACCCGCACACGGACTTATCAGTTTCAATCCCTCTAAGCTTGAAGGGGAGGCAGCTCAAGGGGCGCCAGAGACATACAGGGAAGAACTGAGCTGTTTGGCATTGGAGAGGGGGCTTTCTCCGGGACAAACGTGCAATCAGAGGCCTTTGTTCCTTTGGTGAACCCTTCCCTGGGGGTGCAGACAGCTGCCATATCTGGGACTCCCGGAACCTGGTTCACACTGGTTGCTCTACTCTGGTGATTCCCCAAGGCCCCGTTCCACCCAACTTTCAGGCCCATCTAAGCTGTTGCCAGTTGCTAAACCATAGGATTGGCCTATCTTGGATCCATCTTCAGGTTTTCCTAAATTCTTTCAAACGAGCAGCATCTGGTCTCAGCTAGCCCCATACCTCTCCTTAAGTAATACATAGAAACAAACACAGGGAGGCATCCAAAATGAGGAGACAAAGAAACAGGTCCCAAATGAAAGAACAGAACTAAATGCCAGGAAAAGAATAAGTGAAATGGAGATAAACAACCTAACAGATGCTGAGTTCAAAATACTGCTTATGAGGATGCTCAGTGAACTTAGTGAGAACCTCAGTGAACTTAGTGAGGGCCTCAAGAGCATAAGAAAGGATTAGTCAGAAATGAAGGAAGCACTTACTGAAATAAAGAATAATTTACACATATTCAGTAGTAGAGTAGGTAAAGCCAAGAAGCAAACCATCGATTTGGGATATAAGGAAGCAAAAAACACCCAATCAGAACAGCAAAAAGAAAAAAGAATCCAAAAAATGAGGATAGTGTAAGGAGCCTCTGGGACAACTTCAAGCATGCCAACATTCACATCTTGGGGGTGCCAGAAGGAGAAGAGAGAGAACAAGAAATCGAAAACCTATTTGAAACAAAAATGGCAGAAAAATTCCCTAACTTGGTGAAGGAAACAGACATACAAGTCCAGGAAGCACAGAGAGTCCCAAACAAGATGAACCCCAAGAGGTCCACACCAAGACATATCATCAAAATGCAAAAGGTTCAAGACAAAGAGAGAATCTTAAAAGCAACAAAAGAAAAGCAGTTAGTTACCTAAAGGGAGTCCCCATAAGACTGTCAACTGATTTCTCAAAAGAAACTTTGCAGGTCAGAAGGGAGTGGCAAGAAATATTCAGAGTGATGAAAAGCAAGAACCTACAACCAAGATTACTCTCCTGCAAAGCTGTCATTTAGAATCGATGGCCATATAAAGAGTTTCCCAGACAAGAAAAAGTTAAAGGAGTTCATCACTGCCAAACCATTATTATATGAAATGTTGAAGGGTCTTGTTGAAGATAAAGGTAAAATATGTAAACAAACAAAATGGCAATGAATACATATCTATCGACAACTGAATATATAAACAAAATGAATGGGCAGAACAGAAACATTCTTATAGATACAGAAAACATTTTGTTGGTTGCCAGATGGGAGGGGCGTGGGTGAAAAAGGTAAAGGGTTTAAAAAGTACAGATTGCTTGCTAGATTGACAAACCTCAAATGGAAGGGGGTTGGGGGGTAAGAAGAAATAAACCGAAGAACTTATATGCATAACCAATGGACACAGACAACTGTGGGAAAAGGCATGAGGGGAGCGGGAGTAGGGAGGAGGGGGTCAATAGAGGAAATATGAGGAACATCTGTAATACATTCAACAATAAAGATTAAAAAATAAATGAAAGAGATCCCTGGCTGGTTTGGCTCAGCAGGTTGGCCTGCGGTCCAGAGAGACCTGGGTTCGGTTCCCGCCAAGGGTGCTTACTTTGGTTACAGTTTGTCCCCAGCCCTGGTTGGTCGTGCGGGTGGCAGCCGCTCGATGTGTACCTTTCACGGCAATGGTTCTCTCTCTCTTCCTCTCTCTCCCTCCCATTCTATCTGAACAAAAAATAGAAAAATGTCCTCCGGTGAGGATAAAATATAAATTAAAAAAAAAAGAGAGAGAGAGAGAGAAATTTAAAGCCTCTAAATAAATGTTATTTTAAAAATAGGTACAATTTTTCAAATCAAAAGAAATAAAAATTGGTTTTATTAGCATGGAATTAAGTTTAAAATTTTGTTTGAAAATAGCTAATTTTTAGAAACTGCTTTTTTAAAAGTTGGAATGTGTTCTATACTCTGTAGTACCTTAATGATTTATTTTGAGACTCTGTGGCCAATATTTAAAAAATTCATATACAGGAAGAGACCTAAATTGTGAAGGATTAATTGGTAATGAAGCAGAGACGTCAGTAGCTCAGAACAATATTAACATTAAAGTTTCAAAACTATTTGGTCACGCCCTGGCCGGTTTGGCTCAGTGGTAGAGTGTCAGCCCGCGGATCAATGAGTCCTGGGTTCAGTTCCAGCCAAGGGCATGTACCTAGGTTGCAGTTTGTTGCCAGCCCTGGTTGGGGTTGTGTGGGAGGCATCCAGTCGATGTGTTCCTATCACGTCGTCGTTTTTCTCTCCCTCCCTTTCTCTCTACCTAAAGATAAATAGAAAAATGTCCTCGGCGCCTTGGCTGGTTTGGCTCAGCTGTTAGAGCATCAACCTACAGTCCAGGGAGACCCTGGTTTGGTTCCCCCTAAGGCACATGTACCTCAGTTGCAGTTAGTGCCCGGCCCTGGATGAGTCGTGCGAGTGGCAACCACTCGATATGTTCGTTTCATGTCAATGTTTCTCTCTCTCTCTCTCCCCCTCCCACTCTATTTGAATAAAAAATTGGAAAGATATCCTCTGGTAAGGATTAAAAAAAGAAAAGAAAAGAAAAATATCCTTGGGTGAGGATAAAAAACACACAAAAAAAACTATTTGGTTATGAAAGGAGGAAATAACAATCACATATCTTCTTAACCTTGGTGAGAAAGCTCAGGGAAGCACGGAAAATTTTATAGAAAGGGAATAAGAAACAAATCCTAAAGCATGAGGCACAGGGAGGAGGACAAGCAGCTGCTTCAGATGCAGTAAATTAAAGAACTGAACCCTGCTGCCCAACCCTTATGTATAAACTTACCGTAGATATTTAGGATTTGTGAGCTGGTTATATTAAGGAATAGGACATAGTCTGAATCAATGTTTTCCCTAGTTGAATAATGCCAAGCATGTAACAGACAAGTTTTATTATCCCCATTATATTTTAAGAAATAAGGTGGTGTGGTATGAAACAAATCCCTAAATGAAGACCTGAGTTTCCGCCCTGGCCGGTTTGGCTCAGCGGTTAGAGCGTTGGCCTGCGGTCTGGAGAGACCCGGGTTCGGTTCCCGCTAAGGGCACGTACCTTGGTTGCAGTTTGTCCCCGGCCCTGGTTGGGTTGTGTGGGTGGCGACCACTCGATGTGTCCCTTTCACATCGATGTTTCTCTCTCTCTCTCTCTCTCCCCCCCCCCACTCTATCTGAACAAAATATCGAAAAATGTCCTCAGGTGAGGATAAAAAAAAAAAAAAGACCTGAATTTCCATTCTGTCACTGCCACTTAATTCTGAGATTTTGGACAAATCACTTAACCTGCCTGAATTTCTTGCAGGGGAAACTAAAATCACTTACCCCATGGGACTGTTAAGGATAAATGAAGTCATCTATGAGAAGTTAAAATGGTTGATTAATTGTGCTGCTATTAGTTAGATTGAGCAGGAAGGTTCTGTGAGCAGGACAATATGAATTAAATCTATTTTGCTTCTAGGAAGAAATCATAGTTTTACAACTTCAGTAAGTATGTGAGTTTAATAGTGAAATAATAAATTAAACCTTTTAAAGTTGTGATTTAAAAACTACAAAATCAACTGTACAATGAGAAATGACCTCATTTTATTAATTAGTTTGAGGACAAAGATTATGCCAATTCTAATGCTTTTTGTGTTTTTGTGTGCTTGTTTTTAAGAGAAGAGAACGGATGGCAATGGTAGAGTATATTTTGTCAACCACAACACTCGTATTACACAGTGGGAAGATCCCAGAAGTCAAGGGTAAGAACTTTTGGTTACTAGTTTATAGATAACCTCTTAAAGATTGTACTGTTTCTGATTCAGTTATGAAAAAGATCAGGTACATATTCTTTCACGATAGGCCTTAAGCATTAATCTCTCACAAACCTTATAAAAAGAAAAAAATATACTATTTCATATAATGTATGTGAGTTTCTTGAGAGTATGGAGGGAAAAAACTCACTAGTTTATCCCAATACACTTAAATACTTAATAATACCTACTTATTATTAATAAGGCCAGATAAGTAATTCTGAAGCAGGGTTTGCAGCCTGGGATCCGCTGGATAAAATTCAGGGAGTATGTGACTTAGGGAGAAAACATTAAACATTCTGTTTAATTAACCTTTACCTGAAATTGAGTGTTTCCTTCCATTGTGATTGTAGGCTACAACAATAATATGTTTAACAATGCCTAGGACTTTGCCACCAGTAGAGATCACAGGTTTTTAATATCATTCTGTAGTTGTTGCAGATATGTCAAAATATTGTTTGCATACATCATTACAAGAACTAGCTAGTTAATACATTAATAGAGTCACACTGTTGTTGTTTGTTTTTTAATGTTTTGATAATTACATATAATTGCTTTTCTTTGTAACATTATGTGATGGTATGTGTATTTATTTGCTAGGGCTGCCTTAATAAAGTATCTGTGGCTTAAACAACAGACATTTGTTTCTTAGTTAAGGAGGCTACAAGATCAAGGTGTTGGGAGGGGTCTGCTTCTTCTGAAGGCAGTAGGGAAGGACCTGTTCCAGGCCTCCCTCCTAGCTTCTGGTGGTTCCTTGGATTGTGGCAGCATAACTCTAATCTTGAAATGGCACTCATTCTGTGTGTGTGTCTCTGTTCAAACTTTCCTTTTTTATAAGGATACCAGTCATAATGGATTAGTGGCCCACCATTTTCATCTTAATTAATTACATCTGCACTGACCCCTGTTTTCAAATGAGGTCACATTCTGAGGTATTGGGGGGTTAGGACATTGACATGAATTTGCAGGGGGTACACAATTCAGCCCATAACAGTATGAAATACCATGCATTTATTAGACTGCCAGAGGGATTCCATTCTGCAAGAAATTTGGCAAGGTATAGTCAGAGCAGTCTCTGCACAGTTGCCCTCACTTCAGACATTAGCCATAAGCTGGGACCAACTGGCTACAAATTTGGGAGTCCCCACAACCTCTTTCAGGTTTGGTAACTCACTAGAGAGACTAGAACTCACTGAAGCCTCTTGTACTCCGTCATGTTTATTACAGGGAAAGGATACAAATTAGACCCAACAGAAGATAGAGATGAAAAGGGCAGAGTCTGAGAGGGTTCCAAACACCCAGAATTAATGTGGAACAGTATGTGTGGAGTGGTGCCAACCATGGAATCTCACCTGAGTCTCTGGTATTCAGAGTTTTTATTAAGGCTCCATCATGTACTGCCTGTATGGTTAACCTTTAGTTTCCAGCCCTTCCCCAGAGTTTGGGCTAATACTTTTAGTTTTCAGTTATACCAGAGGTCAGAACTGATATGGAATATCCCAATGTCTCCATTATAAAACACATTGTTGACTGTCTGGTGTTCAAAGCCTCCAAGCAAACAGAAACTTCTGACAAGCAGGACATACCAGAGGCTTAAAGATTACCTCCCAGTAGCTGAGAGCAAAGGCCATACTCTGTTTAGGTGTGATTAATTCTTCACTTAACACATTCATGGCTGAAAGTTTTAAGAACTGCTGTTCTAAAGGCATGCTTTAAATTTAAAATCTATTTCTGGGTACTACCAAATCACAACATTAATTTATGGAGTTATGGTATTTAACGTAAATATTTTTAATTTGCCAAAAAGGAAGAATTAAGAATTCCAAAAGTAACATTTCTAATTCCTCTTTAAAATTTTATCTCTAAGGATAGAATAGACTATGTCACCTTACTCTAATTTGCTACCATTTTTTGTTCCCCATTGTTCCTTTAAGGTTTCAGAGCTAAAGTTAGAATCATTTTATTTATTTATTTATTTTTTCTTTATTGATTTTAGAGAGCAGGAGAGAGAGAGATAGAAACATCCATGAGAGAGAACATTGATTGGCTCTCTCCTGCATGCCCCCAACTGGGGATTGGGCCCCCAACCTGGGCCTGTGCTCTGACTAGGAATCGAACTGGTGACCTCTTGGTCCATGGGTTGACTGACACTCAGCCACTGAGCCACACTGGCTGGGCTAGTATCCTTTTTTTTTTAATCCTCACCCAAGGACATTTTTTTCCATTTTTTGTTCAGATAGAGTGGGAGGGAGAGAGAGAGGGAGAGATACATCGATGTGAAAAGGACACATCGAGTGGCTGCCACCTGCAGTTTTGGCCGGGGACAAACTGCAACCAAAGTAAGCGCCCTTAGCGGGAACCGAACCCAATCCCCAGGTCTCTCTGGACTGCAGGGGAACTGAACCCGGGTCTCTCTGGACTGCAGGCCAATGCTGTAACTGCTGAGCCAAATCGGCCAGGGCCCCCTTTTTTTAAAAAAAAATCCTCACCCAAGGATATTTTTCCATTGAAGTTTTTTTTTTCTTAGAGTGGGAGGAAGGGAGTGGGAAGAGAGAGAGAGAATTATCTGTGTGAGAGAGACACATCAATTGGCTGCCTCTCACATGATCCCAGTGGGGCCAGAGTTGAACCAGCAACCAAAATACATGCCCTTGACTGAGAATCGAACCCGAGACTCTGGTCTGTGGGCTGACACCCTAACCACTGAGCCAAATCAGCCAGGGCCAGAATCATATTTTAATATATAATACAAATGATCCTGTTTCATTCAATTTGTTTTGTTTTTAAGACAACAACTTGTTACTGAGTCTGCCTTGAAAATATAATTAATGAGAAGTGTTATCTTTTTAAAAATTTTGGTAGTCTGTTTTATCTGACATTGTACCCAGTACTGTGAATACAGCTAAATGTTCTGAACCTCTTGATGTAATTTACAAAATACTGTTCTGTGCAGTGGTTCTCAGCCCTTTGTTCTAAAATACACTTGAGGAAAATGACATTCCTGTCTGCAACAGTGGCTCTGTAAAAACAGTGAGCTTAAATGCCTTCAGTTCCTCCCTTTCTTCCTTTCTGATATAAACTTGAACATCTCAATGTTCTGTCTCTTACCAAACCCACCAGATGAAAAAATTGAAGCTATGAAATAGAGAAAAAAGAACTGGCAAATATGAATAAAACTTGGAACACTTATTATACCTACATAGCTAAAAAGACAGGCTGCTATTATAGCAGAATACACAAATGCAAATTGCAAAAAAGGTATTCAGTAGTTTGCTACTCATTCTAGTGTAACATTTAAAAATATCTTGGGTTTGTGAATATGCAGTTTTGAATATTTATAGTAGTGCCTCAATTATTTTAATATATAGCAAATTAAAATCAAGTTATGTCACTTTTGCCTTATAATCTAGTTCCTTCTTTAAAACTCATGTGATGTTTTCAGGGAGGGAAGTTGTTACCAGACAACACAAGCTGAAATACTTGATAATTGCTGTGCTAGCAATATGAAGGAAGTACTTTCAGAGACCTGAAGATAATGATCAATATATAGTAGGAGAAATAATATTTTGAGGCTTATTATGTGCTAACTTTTTTACTTGTATTATCTAATTGATTCCTCATATAGTCTTACATAGACATTGTTATCTCCATTTTTATGGACAAAGAAACTAAGTTTAGAGAGATTAAGCAAAGTCTAAAGATAGGTATTAAGGAAATGGATGGGAATACATCATAAAGAACATTTGAGATGCCTTAAGAGGAATAATAGAGATTCTGTGTAAGAGGAAAGTCTTCACTTGGAGGTGTGACAGATCATGTTATGTTTAGGGAAATAGTGATATCATTATTAAACACTATGAAATCACAGAGGTCAGGGAAGGGATTTGAGGGCAGAATATAGAGGCAGAGTGGGTGAGAGGTGTAGTATAGATTTTTATTTTTTAATTTAAAGGCAGACTCCACATGCAGTACCTCAAAAGGATGTGTCTGGAGTCTTGGATGCTTGACCTTACATTCTCCTACAAATAGACCATGAGAGCTTGTTAGGAGGTTCTAGCAGGGGAGCACATTTACTTGTATGTCCTTGACCTGAGAACGGTCCTCTCCTCTATCAGAGAAGGTCTCACAGCTTCGGGAGGAACTCACATGGAGTGGTGAGGGAGGAAGGGGACATCCGCTAGCCAGTGAGATCAGCTGAATCAACCCTGAAGATCACTGGGGTAACAGAAGTTGCAGGTAGTTCGTCCTCACATCTAGTTTATATCCTATTGTTGGTATTGGTGAACGGTGATAACCCCTTTAGAAGAGAACTAATTTGATTAGATCTCTATCAGATCTCTATTTTAGTACTTTGTCAGCAATATGAAATAGACTAGTGTAAGACCAGAGTGAGACTAGAGGCAGGAAAAGTCAGTTAAGTGGCTGTTGTGAAAGTTTGAGAGAGATGAATAGCTCAGCCAGTGTGGCTCACTGGTTGAGCATCGACCCATGCACCAAGAGGTCAACAGTTCAATTCCCAGTCAGGGCACATGCCCAGGTTGTGGGCCAAACCCCCAGTGGGAGGCATGCAGGAGGTGGCCAGTCCATGTTCTTTCTCATCGATGTTTCTATCTCTCCCTCTCTCTCTAAAATCAATAAAGAAAAAAAAATAAAGAGAGATGAATAAAGCCAGAGTAAGGATGGTCCTAGGGATTGAAAATAGTGATTAACATGAAGACTTCTAAGGCAAATTAGGCAGAATTTAGTTACCATGAGATGTTTAGATGGGTTATGAGATAGGGAATACAAGTCAAGTAGGTAGGAGAAGATTGAGTGTTGGGTGATGGACCTGTTGACATGTTAACATGCTTGTAGGATAAAGAGGATATAGGTAAAGAGGATATAGTAAACAACTAGTTATACTGCCTGAATGGTTGTCTAGATTTCTACTCCATTTATGTGTGATTTTAGTTTCTATATTGGTCAAACAAGCAACTCTAACATTTTTTGTTTGTTTATATTTTTTCCTATGTTCTTTAGTCAATTAAATGAAAAGCCCTTACCTGAAGGCTGGGAAATGAGATTCACAGTGGATGGAATTCCATATTTTGTGGACCACAATAGAAGAACAACCACTTATATTGATCCCCGCACTGGAAAATCTGCCCTGTAAGTTTTCTAAACATTGTAGTTTAAAAGAAAAACTGATTTCAAGATTTTGATGTAAAAGATCTGAATTAGCAAGAAGTGCAGTTCTTACTATTTCTTCAGTTGGCCTGCCCGTAGGTCTCTGTCCACTAAATATTTTCTGTTTCCATTACTCTCTTGACATTTTCTCCTATAGATTTTTTATATTTGTTATCGTCTGTGCATATAGCACTAAATGAGACTGTTTCGAAATTATCAGTACAGTACTGTCCACCAGTTAATCCCTAATTTCTGATGCTTGTTTTCTTCATTTCTGTTATTTTTTAACTTAAAAACTCCCTTAACGTTATTTTCCTTTTCTGTGTTTGAAAAGTAACTGTATGTTTTGTTTAGGATGTTTTTTAAAATTATTATTATTATTATGGTAAAACATACATAACAGTTTTTACCATTTTAAGTGTACACTTTAATGACATTAAATACATTCACATTATTGTGCAACCATCATCACCATTCATCTCCAGAACATTTTTATCATTCCATACTGAAACTCTATACCCATTAAACAATAACTTTCCAATGCTCCTCCCCCAGCCCCTGATAACTACTGTTCTACTTTCTGTCTTTATGAATTTGACTACTCACGTAAGTGGAATCATACAATATTTGTTCTCTGGTGCTTATTTCACTTAGCATCATGTCTCCAAGATTTATTTATGTTGTAGCTTATATCAATATTTCATTCCTTTTTAAGGCTGAATATTTCCATCTATGTATATACCACATTTTGTTTATACATTTATTCATATACATCTGGATTGTTTTCCACCTTTTGGCTATTGTGTATAATGCTACTATGAGTATGAATGTACAGATATCTGTTTGAATCCTTACTTGTGTATATACTCATAAGTGAAATTTCTGGATCAAATGCTAATTTTGTGTTTTTGTGAGTCGCTGTCATACTATTTTCCATGTAAGATACACCATTTTACATTCCCACCTGCAGTACACATAGGTTCTAGTTTTTCCAATCCACACCAACATTTGTTTTCTGTTTGTTTTTATAATGCTATCCTATGGATATAAAATAGTACCTCATTGTGGTTTTTATTTTTCTCTAGTGAGTTATGATGTTGAGCATCTTTTCATGACCATTTTTATATCTTGGGAAAAAAGTCTGTTTGAGTCCTTTGCCCATATTTTTTTCTTTACTAATTTTAGAGAGAGAGGAAATGAGAGGGAGAGAGAGATAGAAACATTGATGAGAGAGGACATCAATTAGCTGCCTCCTGCATGCCCCCCACTGGGGATCGGGCCCACAACCTGGGCATGTGTCCTGACTGGGAATTGAACCGGTGACCTCTTGGTGCATGGATCGACGCTCAACCGCTGAGCCACACCGGCCTGACCCTTTGCCCATTTTTGAATCGAGTTGCTTGTTTTTTATTGAGTTTTAGAAATAAATTTCTGTATATTCTAGATATATGTCACTTCCAAATATCTTATTTCATTCTGCATATTGCCTACAAGTTATATAGCTTTAGCAGTTACATTTATTAGGTCTTGGATCCATTTTTAGTTAATTTTTGCATTGGAGGTAAGGGTCCAATTTCATTCTTTTGCATGTGGATATCCAGTTATCTCAGCACCATTTATTGAAAAGACTGCACCCTTGTTGAAAATCATTTGGCCATATATGTGAGGGTTTATTTCTGGCATTCTGTTCTGTTGTCTATATATCTGTCTGTAGTCCAGTACTACACTGTTTTGATTACTATAGCTTTCCATTAAATTTTGAAGTTAGGAAATGTGAGTTTTTCAGGGTCCCTTGAGATTCCATATGAGTTTTAGGATAGATTTACCTCTTTCTGCACAAAAGTCATTGGACTTTTAATAAGGATTACACTGAATTTGTAGTTTGCTATGATTAGTATTGATATCTTAACAATGTTAAATCTTGTAATCCATTAACATAGGCTATGTTTACATTTGTTTGCCTTCTTTAATTTCTTTCAACAGTGTTTTATAGTTTTCAGTGTGCAAGTCTTTTCTATCCTTGGTTAAGTTACTTCCTAAATATTTTGTTGGTTTTGGTACTACTTGTAAATAGAATTGTTTTCTTAATTTCCTTTTCAGATTGTTAATTGTTTGTAGAAATGTAACTGGGTTTTGTGTGTCGTTTTGTGTCCTACTTTGCTGAATTTCCTTATTAGTTCTAACGGTTTTTTATTTAATTTGTAGGGTTTTCTGTTTTTAAGATCATATCTTAAAACAGATAATTTTTACTTTTTTTCCAATTTGGATGCCTTTTTTTTCTTTTTCTTTCCTAATTGCTCTGGCTAGAACTTCCAATACTGTGTTGAATAGAAGTGGTGAAAGCAGAACCTCTCAGTCCATGGGAAAATGCTCAATCCACTGAGACACACCGGCCGGGCAATTTTTTTCGTATATTGAACTATCTTTGCATTTAAAGATAAATCCCACTTTGTCATAAGGACTGAAATATTAATCTTTTTAATCTGCTGAATTGAGTGTGCTCATGTTTTGTTGAGAATTCTTGTATTATTGTTCATAAGAGATAGTGGTCTGTAGTTTTCTTTGCTTGTACTTTGTCTGACTTTGACATCAGGACAACCCTGGCCTCTCATTACTTTTTAATTTTATACTTTTTATGTATTAAAAACTTTCCTGTTTAGCCCAGCCAGTGTGGCTCAATGGATTGAGCTTTGTCCTGTGGAATGAGAGGTCCTAGTTCGATTCCCAGTCAGGGCACACACCTGGGCTGCAGGCTCGAACCCTAGTAGGGTGCGTGTAGGAGGCAGCCGATCGATGTATCTCTTTCACATCGATGTTTCTATTTCTTTCTCTCTCTCTAAAAAAATCAATAAAAATATTTTTAAAGAAAAAAACTTTCTTGGGGGTCAATGGGGGAAAAATGAGGAACATCTGTAATGCATTCAACAATAAAGATTTAAAAATAATAAAAAAAACTTTCTTGTTTAAAGCAGCACTAGGAAGTTAAGCCAATTAGGCATTAATAAAATTAGAAATTGTTTATATATGGAAATAAATTATAAACATATAATGTTGGATCATTCGTTTTAGTTAAAATTATGTTTGGGTACATATAACAGAAAATTTCAAAACAATAGTGGCTTATATAAGACAGAAGTATATTTCTCTGCATCACTTAAAAATGGTCCAGTAGGACTTACACAGCACACTACTGAATAATTCATGGCTCATAGAAGAAAACCACAAGAAACTAGAAAATATTTTGCAGTTAATGATAATAAAATACATGTTATAGTTTGTAGGATTTATCAAAAGTAGTCCACAGAGAATAATTTATTGCCTTAAAAGAATAGATTAGAATATAAAGATGTAAAGTCAGTGACCCCTGCTTCAAATATTTAATAAGTTGGATAAAGAGAAGTTAATTAAACCCAAAATAAGCACAAGAAAGGAAATAAGCATAATAGCAGAAATCAATGAAATGGAAATGAAATACCAGAGAAACAAAAGCTAGAGAAGTTGAATCTTTGAAAAAGATTAATAATATTGATAACCTCTAGTAATCCTGAGAGAGAAAACACAAATTACTGATATATTAGCAAGTGAAATAAGGACATCACTACATATCCTACAGACATGAAAAAATAAAAAGATAATGTTTTGAACAATTTTATGCCAATAAGTTTGACATTAAATAAATGCGCAAATTCGTTGAAAGACACAAGTCACCAAAATGGACATAAGAAAATGCAGTAAATCTGAATAACTGTATATGTGATAAAAAAAAAAATTGAATTTATAATTTTAAAATTTCCCATAAAGGAAATTTCTGGACCATTTAAATAGGTTCACTGGTAAATTTTATCAAAATCATATATAAGTAACAGATAATATCAGTCCTATTCAAGTTCTTTCATAAAATATAAAAGAAGAAGACTCTTCCCAAATCATTTTATATGGCTTCTATAACCCTGATACCAAAATCAGAAAAGAACATTATAAAAAAATTTTTGAGTAACATTTATATGAACAGAGGTGTAACAATCTTTAATAAAATAATGGCAAATTAAATTTAGCAAGATAGAAAAGGAATATTACACTATCATCATGTGGAGTTTATTCCAGGAATGCAAGATTGATTTTATATACAAAAATCAATCTGTGTAATTTACCACATTAATAGATTTAATGGAGAAAAATTATGATCATTTCATTTAAGCACTTAACATAATAATATAATGCCAATTTATGATAAATTCTCAGCTGCCTTGGAAACTTTCTTACCTGAAAAAGTGTTTATAAAAGACCTACAACCAACAACACACTTAATGATGAAATAACTCTTAAGATCAAGAGTAAGACAAGGATATCTACTGTCACTACTTCCATTCAACATTGTATTGGTAGTCCTATGAGATAAGAGAAAGAAATAGTGTGTGGGTGGGTGGGTGGGTGTGTGTGCGCGCGCGCAATAAGGGAGAAAAGTAAAACTTTTATCACTCAGATAATTATGTATATAGAAAATCTTAAGGAATCTAGAAAAAAAATCCTAAAACTAGTAAGCAAATTTAACAGTATTGCCTGATACAAAGTCAGTATATAGAATTAATTGTATTTCTACATTGATCATTTAGAAAATGAAATTAAAAGTATTTCAGGGGGAAAGTGAATGATCCAGTGGTATGGCTTTCAGGGCTAGCTTGGTAGCCCCATGGTGTCATCAGTGATCTAGGCTTCTTTCTTTCTGTTCTGCCATCCCAGGCAATGATCTCTATCCTAACAGTTACCTCATAGTTTGTGATAGCTTCTGAAACTTCAGCTGTCATAATTAAACTGCAGGCTGGAATAAGAACAAATTACAAAAAGAAAAAAATCATTTTCCAGCTCTCTCAGCTCTCCTTAAAAAAGAGCCTTCCTTGAAGTCCTATACATTTTTGCTTACAACTCATTAGTCATAGTTAAGTCTCATAGCCACACTGGGAAATACAGTCTTTCTCCTAGGTAGCAGTCTGCCTAGGTAAATATCAAGAGTCTGATTTAAGTACAAAGGAGAGAATGGATTTGGGGGATAGACAACATTTCAGATATAACCTACTTTATCTTGTCCTGTTAGATTTGGCTTTATATAAAAGAAAGCCCCACAACACTGGCTTTAAAAAGATGAAAATTTATTTCTGTCTTTTACTTAAAAATACTCCTGGAAAATAAAGCTTTTAAAAGGTATTGGTAGGAGTATGTTATACTAGGGTGCTTTTGTATTTGACTGCTGAGTACTGAGGGGGTGTGGTATTTTGCTTTTGTTCAATATTTTATCTTACAAGCAGCTATTATGTCATATTTCCATTCTTCCTCAGAGACAATGGACCCCAGATAGCCTATGTACGGGACTTTAAGGCAAAGTTTCAGTATTTCCGATTCTGGTGTCAGGTTAGTATGGGGACTATATTTCTATACTCCCTTTCTTTTGTTTATGTTGCTTATATTACACAGTCAGTGATTATGAAAATAACTCATAGAAAAACAGGTAACATGAGAAGCATCGGAATTTCTTTCTCTTATTTTTAAGGCACAGAAATAGATTTATCACGTAGATAATTTGTGCCTTCTATTGTCTACAATAATAAATTTAAAACCATTTGAATAAGAACACAGTGCTACTTTCTTTCTAGTATCCATTATGTTCAGATTGCAGAAATCTTTAAATGAATTAAAAGATGTTCTGATGTATATATAAATTATAACCAGCCCTTTTCATGGCTAGCATTTGCTGGATATCTATCTGTATCACTTTATATGGTTATATTCAGAGTATTTTTTTCAGGTGTGGTAAAATATTTCTGAAGTATAACTATTTACTGAATTTAACTATTTCATTATGGATTCTAAATAAAATTAAAGTATTATTTAGAATATTACTATGATGAATATTTTTAAACTTCAAACTTGCAATTATAACTGGGCAAGCAAGAAGAATCTGAATTAGTATTTTGAAAATAAAGTTAAAGATTTATTTGACTCAGTAAGTGAGCTCTGTGCATATGAGATCTTGTTTTCCTCTGTTTTTTATATATCAAATGATCTATAATTAGCATGAAGTCTCACAATTCGTGGTTAAACATTACTGAATCTAAAGTCATAATTCAAAGTCTACTTGTTTCTGTAAGCAAAGATAAAAGTGAATAATAAAAATGATAGGTCATTTTAAATGGTGAGAGTTGACTTAAGTCATTTTTATATTTCAGCAACTGGCCATGCCACAGCACATAAAGATTACAGTGACAAGAAAAACGTTGTTTGAAGATTCTTTTCAGCAGGTACTGTTTAATCCACTCAATAGATCACTCCCTGACTGCCAGCCCAAAACCATCTTTTGGTGTTGGCAGTTTAAACAGTTAGTAACTCTTTAAGTTGCAGTCTTTGAATTTTTAAGTCTAATCTCACTGCCAATTACTTTAGTACTTTAAATTTAGGAACACGCAGATAGTTGTGTGTGTGTTTTGTGTATGTGTTATGCTTTTGAAATTTCAGTTATTTTATGATTAGTGAGTTTCAGGTTTCTACTTCTAAGCTAATTGTTTGATTTGAAATAGATACTTAAGTAAGAAAACAGGCTTTTGGTAGACAAAAGTCTGGAAATATCCATATGAACATTAATGGATAAGTAGAAAAGGAGTGGGGAAAACCTTATAGTTTTTATAGTTCTATAATACTTGCATTTTCGCAATAAGCATGGTAACTCTTGTAAATAACTTTTTTTTTTAATGTAGGAAAGAAATTGGTCATTAGTTCCAATATGTAAAAAAAGATGTTTGCAGCCTTGGCCTGTGTGGTTCAGTTGGTTGAGTGTTCCGTGCACCAAATGGTCACTGGTTTGATTCCTGGTCAGAGCACGGGCCCAGGTTGCCGGCTGGATTCCCAGTAGGGTCATGCAGGAGGCAGCTGATTGATGTTTCTCTCTCTCTTTCTTTTTCTCTCCCTTCCTTTAAAATCAACAAAAGTAATTTTTTCATTGTGATAGCTACAACTTCAAGAAGTGGCACACTGAATGTAAAGGAAAAAGATATTGTTTGAGATAGTTGACAGTAGCTGGCTACTTCCTTTCAGAAACAGTTATGTTGATTTCTTAATGGAACCTCAGTTATTAGCATTGAAAGGGGAAAGCCAGTTAGCATCCTGCTAAATAGGAGCAGATAGCTTTTTAGCAGCAGAGCTTGACTAAGACTATTTAGCGAATTATGAGTCATTCCCTTGATCTGATGTGAGTTTCCTAATTTACTCACTACTCCAGTTGTTGACCTTTTTCTAATTTTCATATTCATAACCACTATGTAGTTACTAAGTATGCAGTCTCTGGTGGGCCAGTTTCTTGGAACATAACTTGTCTATAGCAGTGCTGAAAAGATGCAAAACATGATTAAATGTCCCGTTATGTTCCCTTTATCTTTTGACTTCTGAAACCAGAGGCTTTCACAGAATGACAGACCAGATGGTGTTAAAACAGTTGCCTAAAATTATCATCTTATATTTGACACTTGTTGAATTAAATATAAAATTAAACCTTGAGAAAAATTTGATTGCTTTGGAAGAATAACAAATATGATAACAAAATTAGCTACATATTTTTTTCATAACTGTTGGATAAAGTTTTGGATAGTAAGTGTTTTAATTAACATTGCACAACTGCTTATGAGGGAAATTTTTTTTTCCTTCATACTAGCATTTGCTAAAGGATAATATCTAAAAATATTTTTTTCCGGGGAGCAGTGAATCCCCAGATATCACACATAGGGCAAGGTAACAACCATAAAGTGATATATCTGTTTTGTGGGAATTGAAAGAAGCCCTGGTGTAAACAAGTTAGTTACTGAGCCTCTCTGGGTATTTAAATGTGAGAGTTTGTTTATATCATTTCATAAAATAGGCATTGTATCAAATGCTTTCTCTCTCTTTTTTGGGCCCTTTCATTTCTCTTCTAAGAGTAATTAATATTTGTAATGTTCTGTGGACCCCATTGTTAGCAGGTAATTTAAATAGTTTTACAAAGAAAGAACCCAAACAACCTATTTATTGTAGCTCAGTAATGGTACTGTCCTTCAAAGATGAAGATGATCTTATTAACTGCTACAGTGGGACATGAAATTTGAGTAGTTTTCCAGATGTTTAAAAGTTTCTGAGAATGAGTCTCCAAAGTTAACTATATTCTCTCTGCAGCCACTAGTTTTTCTTTCCAAGTTGGCCCTTTTAGCTATTAAATCCCATTTACCAAACAGAACCGAAAAAGCACCTATCTCTGACCATGCCCACAGTTACTGCTCTTAGCAAGTGAGAGAAGTAACTTTATAAGTCAATAGTAGGATCATTTAAAAGAAAATTAATATGTATAAAGTATATAAATATAAATGAAACATTAATGTATTTTCTGTATGTGTGGTGTTGATTAGATCACAAACACAATTATATGTCAAGGGGAATTTGTTACCTATAATGAAGATTTCAAACCTGAAAGTGATAGAATGATGTTTCAACAACCGGTTTTACCAATTCTTTTACTTTATTGTTTTGTAGATAATGAGCTTCAATCCCCAAGATCTGCGAAGACGTTTGTGGGTGATTTTTCCAGGAGAAGAAGGTTTAGATTATGGAGGTGTAGCAAGGTAGTGATACTATGAATACTCAGAACTTAGTTCCTTTCATACAAAGGTATCATTACACTTTGCTTGCAAGTATTATTTCTCAATCTTATATTTCAGGAAAATGAAATGTAGGAAATTTTTGTACCTTTATTATGCAGCAGCTATAGAATTTCAACATTAATTGAGAAGGTAACTCTGAGGTACTGCCAGTTGGTTTCACCCACATCACTCATTTAATCCTCAGAATAACCCTGTGAGATAGAATTTTACAGGTAATCGTGAAGTTTAGAGACTCACCTAAGGCACATAACTAAGTTGTAAAACCTTGAATGTAAGTTTTGCATCATAACCAGAAACCAGTGTTACATCTATTACCTCATGTCTATTCCACAGAGCATATAAGGCTCTACTGTAATCAGGTCATTTTCCTCATCACAGATTAGATAATAGTCACTCAATTCCCAACTGAGATTAACATATCTGTTTTAAGACTAGAAGCTTTATAAAATAGGAGTTAAAATATTTAAATCTGGTTTATTAATAGTGGAGTCTCCAGTCAAATCCTAGAAGGTAGACTGAAGCAAACAATTGCTTTGCTTATTCCATAACAGTTTATCATATCAAGTTAAAATTTGCATAGCCAGTGGCAGTGAAGAAAGGCAAGGACTTTGGAGTCAGGACTGGATTTGAATCCTTTTTCTGCACTCACTAGTATGACCTGTGACAAATATTTTTTTCTGTAAAATGACCTAGTGTACTCACTAACTGGTGACTACAATTAGTGCTCTTTTATTTATCCCATTTCAAAATGTATGAAGTACCCACAGGTAAATAATAAATATGAGTAGAAACATTTAATTTTGTACAGGTTAAAGATAATTTAGGAGGAGGTTATTTATTCTTTTTTTCTTTTTTTTTTTTTTTTTATCCTCACCCGAGGACATTTTTCCATTTTTTTTTTTTGTTCAGATAGAGCGGGAGGGAGAGAGAGGAAGAGAGAGAGAGAGAAACATCGATGTGAAGGGACACATCGAGTGGCTGCCACCCGCACAACCAACCAGGGCCGGGGACAAACTGCAACCAAGGTACGTGCCCTTAGCGGGAACCGAATCCGGGTCTCTCTGTACCGCAGGCTGACGCTCCAACCGCTGAGCCAAACCGGCCAGGGCTATTTATTCTTAATTAGAAAATGAATTAGCATTAAAATATAAGCAGCATTACTACCAGAGGCCATGAAACTAGCAGGAAAACAGATCTCAGACACAAGATTATATCACATGTATTGCCCCACATCTGCTGTTCCTACTGTTCTATCAGACATACCTACGTTACATAATTAGTACCTGTAATCTTATGTTAATATTGGTTGGTATTTTCACAGCATTTAAATTTGAGTTTCTCGGAGCACTTTCCTAATGAATGAGTGGCTTGAATTAAGTGTTTTATTGCCTCTGAATTCTGTTGTTTTTCATATTTGTCTAGGATTTAGAGAGCAGTGGTACTTGAGGATCACTGTGGGACTTAGAAATAGATGGAATAATATTAGACTTGTTTCAGCTGGTCTAACCACATGGATCAATTAGTGAAGTTTAGACTTGACTGTGTATAGTATTTTATTGATTCTAAGACTGATTTTTTCATATTTTAATATCTTTGAAAGTGGGATGTGTAGCACAATTATAATTAGTGGTTGTCTTTAATGTTGATGGTGTCTTAGGTTCTTTGAAATATAATAATTAGCAGTGTGTAGATGTCATCTCTATAAAGTAGATGTCAGTTTGAACAGAAGCAGTAAAATCAGCATGGTAGATTAGGAAACTATCACCAGGAGTATAGATTTCTAACTTTGTAGCACTGCACTTTAATTTGTTGGCATGGTTACTTAGATGATTTTTCACCCAAAATTTTCTTTTTATTGCAGAGAATGGTTCTTTCTTTTGTCACATGAGGTGTTGAACCCAATGTATTGCCTGTTTGAATACGCAGGGAAGGATAACTACTGCTTGCAGATAAACCCGGCTTCTTATATCAATCCAGATCACCTGAAATATTTCCGTTTCATTGGCAGATTTATTGCCATGGTAAGTACAGGTGGAAAACTGTGTTTACTTTGCTAACTCGGCAATCCGAAAGCATTGTTTCTTTAATTTTCTCATTTGAGATGTTCTCATCACTAAGACATTTCCAAAATTGGGTTTTGTTTTATTTGTCCTTTTTCTAGAAGTGTACCATAAGAAATCATATAACAGGGGAGCCCTTTTTAAATGAAGAACTTGTCTAACATTCTGAAATATAATGAATATTATAAAATTATCTTAAATGGTATTGTGTTTTGTTTTGTTTTGCATAGGCTCTGTTCCATGGGAAATTCATAGACACAGGTTTTTCCTTGCCATTCTACAAGCGTATCTTGAACAAACCAGTTGGACTCAAGGATTTAGAATCTATTGATCCAGAATTTTACAATTCTCTCATCTGGGTTAAGTAAGTTTGTTTCCATTTATTTTATCAAAATATAGTCTATGTGCTTTCATTATGATATTGATATATACATTTGAAGCATGTAATTGGTTTATTTAATTTAAATGGTCTACATTAAACCTGTCTCATTATTCAGTAATGTAAATTTTAAAATATATTCAAGATCTTTGGCAAAAATATGATGGCTTTAGAGCATAATTTTTAAATTTTCTTGTTATTTTGATGTAATTAATAGTAATTTTAATAGTAATTGTTTAAAATCATAGTCCTTTAGTTAAAAACTTTTTATATGTTTGAATTAGTATAATAAATAGTGTTAATTTTATTTGTGCAGAGAAAACAATATTGAGGAATGTGGTTTGGAAATGTACTTCTCCGTCGATAAAGAAATTTTAGGTGAAATCAAGAGTCATGATTTGAAACCCAATGGTGGCAATATTCTTGTAACAGAAGAAAATAAAGAAGAATATATCAGGTGAGAGAGGATGCTCCTTTTGACATAGTTTAGCCTTTTTATTGGACTACACCATGTTAATAATTGCCAGGTAATACTAGAGGGCAATGTTTTAAGAAATAATTTTTTGCTTTTTTACTAATCATTATGAGAACTGATCTTATTATTTTTTTTCTTTATTGATTTTAGAGAGAGAGGAAGGGGGAGAGAAAGAGAGATAGAAACACTGATGAGAGAGAACATCGATTGGCCGCTTCCTTCATGCCTCCCACTGGGGACTGGGCCCACAATCTGGGCATGTGTCCTGATCGGGAATAAAACCAGTGACCTCTTGGTGCATGGGTAGATGCTTAACCACGGAGCAACACCAGCCGGGCTGATCTTATTTTATTTTATTTATTTATTTTTTTATCCTCACCTGAGGACTCTTTTTTTTTTTCATTTATCTTCAGATAGAGAGGGAGGAAGAGAGAGAGAAACATCGATGTGAGAGAGACACATTGAGTGGCTGCCACCCACACGACCCCAACCAGGGCCCGGGGACAATCTGCAACCGAGGCACGTGCCCTTAGCGGGGACTGAACCCGGGACTCTGGTCTGCGGGCTGACACTCTTAACTGCTGAGCAAAACCAGTCAGGGCTGATCTTATATTATTAAGGACACAAATGGTCACCTTTTCTACCTTATTCAGTGTTGAAAGAGGAACAAGGAAATGGCTATGGGAAGTCAAAAGAGGAAGACGTCATTCCATCTAGTTTTAATCATAGAGCAAGTAGCCGATGGTATTTCGGTTGAGCCTTTCACTTATATAGAAATGAGAGCAAAATTTATGAGCAGAGAAATGGAGGCTGCAATGCACAAATCACAGACAGTATCAGAGAAGAGTATCCATGGTGTGTGAAGTACTGTCAGGCAGATCTGAGTTGATACTCATTCTGCCATGTCCTGCATTTCAAAAGCCAAAGAAAATTGAGGAATCTTTAGAAGGTGTAGAGGCTAGTAAATTATGATAACCATTAAAAGAATATAGTTAGCCAAGTGGTAGATTAGAAGCCAGATTATAAGAAATTAGGGCTAAATTCAGTAGACCATCTGAATTTTGTCTTCAACAAGTCTCATAACAAAACAATGAGAGGAAGAACAGATGTTTGTGGAGGCAGCAAGATAGAGTGACTGTCCTGCAGGTAATTAAAATTAAACCTTACAAAGAATTAGTGTAGTGGGTGTTAGTGGGTTTTATGCCCCCTTCCTGGTATAGTATCAACTTAACCAGAATTTTGAAGATTTATGAAGTGATAGAAAAGAATTTTGGTTATATAAAACTTTCACTTTTTTCTCAAAAGTGGGAAATTTAATGGTAGAAGTAGTGGTAGAACACTCTTTTAAATACCAAGTCTGTAATCACTATGCCATGTAATATGTTATTGAAAAGAATCTCAAATTTATATGCAGATATTTTCATGGGGGATATTATAATATCAGGTAACATTTATAAGTAGATGATTGTTTATCCTTTCCTATGCTTTGCATTGGTTCATACTTTTAGTCTCAAGAGTTTTTAGTTCATTCACATATTCTCAACACTAATTCAGGGTTAGATATCACATATCTGCTTCTTCTTGAGTTCTAGTTTCTGGTTAGCTTGCATACTTTCTATTTTTTAAATATTAATGTATTCATTCCAGCTTTTTTTATGATTAGTATTTTCATGGTATATCTTCCTCCATCTATTATTTTCATCCTCTGTCTTTGTATTTAAAACACTTTTCTTAGCAGCAGCATATTCTTGGGTCTTGCTATTTTTATCCAATTTGATAATCTTTACTTTTTACTTTTTAATTGTACTGTTTAGTACTTTTACATTTAATTACATTACTGATGATTGGACTTAAGTCTGCCACCTTGCTATTTGTTTCTTATTTTTTCCAATTTTCTTTGTTTCTCTTTTTCTACCTTCTTTTGCATTAATTTTTCTTTTTCTTTTTCTTTTTCTTTTGGTTAATTATACCTCTAATTTTTTTAGGAAGTGCTCTAATGATAATATGAATCCTTAACTTATCCCTTATAATTAATATTTGATTAACATTAATATTATATATAATAATATAACATAATTAATATCACACTACTTATACTTTATAAGAGACTCATTATAGTATAATTCCATATATTTCACTCCAGTCATTTGTGCTTTTTGTTGTTATATATTATTTCTTATGTTATAAACCCATAATACCTTTAGTCTTGCTTTAAGCAATCAATAGATTTTTAAGTAAATTAAGAAAAAATAGTTTTTTATATTTACATTATCATTTTCAGTTCTCTTCATTTCTTCCCACAGATGTATTTTTCCATATGGGATAATTTCCTTTCAACTTTAAAATCTTGCTTTACCATTTATCTTAGTGGGTATTTGGCAGTAAATTCTCACAGATTTTATCTGAAAACATGTTTATGTCATATTCAGTTTTGAATGATACTTTCACTAGATTTAGAATTCTAGGTTTATAGGGTTTTTTCCCCTCCTTATTTTTTATTATTTTGTCATTGTTAATCTCCTCCCCTTTTTTAGAACTTCCAATAATGTCATTTTATTGTTGGCCTCTATTGTTTTTTATGAGCCATTATTTTTTTGAATGACGTGTTTTTTCTGTGGCTTTTCATACATTTTCTCTTTAATTTTGGTTTTTAACATTTTGACTCTGATATAATTGTGATTTCTTGTATAAACATTTTTCCTGCTTGGCGTTTCTGAGCATGTATCTGTGATTGATGCCATTTCAGCATTGGTGGACTATTGAGGCTTTATCTCTGGATGTTCTTTTTGCTTATTCTCTTTCTACATACTTTAGAGACCTCAGTTATATATATATATATATTTTTTTAACCTTTGATATCATCTCATGGTTCTCAGATGCTGTATATGTTTTTTTATCTTCTCTATTCTTCAGTTTAGATCATTTTGATTGATCAGTCTTTGAATTCACTTCTCTTAAGCTCATACTATGAAATTTTCATTTCATAGGTTCTGTAATTTCCATTTAGTTCTTTTAAGAGTTTCTCTGCTGCCCTGTCCTGTGTGGCTCAGTTGGTTGGAGGGTCGTTCCCTACACCTAAAGGTGGCAGGTTTTGGATTTGATCCCCGGCCGGGGCACAATTGATCAATGTTTCTCTCTCACATAGATGTCTCTCTCTCTCTTTTTCTCCCTCTCCCTTCTGCTCTAAGATTAAGTTTTTTTTTAAAGTGTTTCTCTGCTGAGAATCTCCATCTCTTTACTTATTTTGTCCATCTTGTTCTATAAATTCTTTAATATATCTTTAATAACTTTTTTATTTTTATTTTTATCCCCACCCAAGGATATTTTTTGCATTTATCGTCAGATGGAGGGAGAGAGAAACATTGATGTGAGAGAGACACATCGACTGGCTGCCACCCACACGACCCCAACAGGAGCCAGGGATAAACTGCAACCAAGGTACATGCCCTTAGCGGGAACTGAACTCGGGACTCTGTGGTCCGCAGGCTGACGCTCTAACCGCTGAGCCAAACCGGCCAGGGTTTTAGTAGCTTTTTTAAAGTCTTTATCTGCTAACTTCAACATTGGGCCATCTGTGGGCCTTATTCTATAGACATTTTCTCTTGATTATAGGTCATATTTTTCTGCTTCTGCATATGTAGCCATTTTAAATCATTTTTTCTCTGGCCTGTTTGGCTTGACTGTTAGAGCATTGGCCTGCGAACTAAGGAATCACAGGTTTGATTCCGGTCAAGGGCATGTACCTCACTTGTGGTTTGATTCCCTGGCCCTGGTCACTGTTATACAGGAGGCAACCAGTCGATGTGTCTCTCTCACACTGATGTTTCTCTCTCTCTCCTTCTACCCTCCCACTTTATCTGAAGATAAATGAAAATAAATATTTTTAGGTGAGCATTAAAAAATAAATCATTTTTTATTTTTCAATTACAGTTGACATATAATATTAGTTTCAGGTGTACACCCCAGTGATTAGACATTATATAACTTAGTAAGTGATCATCCCAATAAATCTCATACCCAGCTGGCATCATACATAGTTACTAGAATATTATTCACTATATTCCCAATACTGTACTTTTATATTCGATAACTACCAATTTCTAGTTCTTAATCCTTTCACCAATACTGTACTTTTATATTCGATAACTACCAATTTCTAGTTCTTAATCCTTTCACCTTTTTCACCCAACTCCCTTTCAACCTGGAAACTATCAAAATGTTCACTGTATCTGTGAGATACACACCAAAAAACACATTTTAAATTTTTGTCGTTAATTCTCACCCAAGGATATTTTTTCCATTAATTTTTAGAGAGAGGAAGCGGGGGGGAGAGAGAACAAGAGAGAAACCCATGTGAGAGAGACACATAGCTTAGTTGCCTCCTGCATGCACCCTGATCAGGGCCAGGGATTGGATCTGTAACCCAGGTACATGCCCTTGACTGGGAATTGAACCCATGACCCTTTGGTGCACATGCCGATGCCCTAACCACGGAGCTACACTGGCCAGGGTTAATTTTGGTTTTTAGATTCAGTTGTTGCTAGATACGTATTTATTGCCATTTTATTGTTCATATTTTTTATATTTTTTCTTCTTCTTAAATAAGACTCATTAACATTTTATGTAATACTGGTTTATTGGCTATGAAATCCTTTAATTTTATCTTGTCTGGGAAGCTCTTTATCTGCCCTTTGATTCTAAATGATAGCTTTGCTGAGTAGAGTACTTTTAGTTGTAGGTCCTTGCTTTTCATCACTTTTGAGTATTTCTTGCCACCCCTTCTGGCCTGCAAAGTTTCTTTAGAGAAATCAGCTGACAATGTTTTAGGAAGTCCCCTGTAGGTAACTAACTGCTTTTCTCTTGCTGCTTTTAATATTTTTGGTTCAATTTGTTTTGGACTCTGTGCGCTTCCTCGACTTCTATGTCTGTTTCCTTCACCAAGTTAGGGAAGTCTTCTGTCATTATTTTTCTTTTCTCTCTTTTTTTAATATTTATCCTCACCTGAGGACATTTTTTGCATTTATCTTCAGATAAAGCGGGAGGGGGAGAGGAGGGAAGAGAGAGAGAGAGAAACGTGAGAGAGACACATCAACTGGTTGCCACCCACACGACCCCAAACAGGTTGGGGACAAACCACAACCTAGGTACATGCCCTTAGCAGGAACCAAACCCGGGACTCCTTGGTCCGCAGGCTGACACTTACTGCTGAGCCAAACCGGCAGGGCTCTGTCATTATTTTTTGAATAGGTTTTCTGTTTCTTGCTTTCTTGCTTTCTTCCGGCATTCCCATGATGCAAATGTTATGCTTGAAGTTGTCCGAGAGGCTCCCTATACCAGCCTCTTTTTTTTGATTCATTTTTCTTTTTGCTGTTTTGAGTGTTTTTTGCTTTCTTATATTCCCAATTGCTGATTTTATTTTTGTTGTCATCTACTCTACTCTAGAGTCCCTGTAAATTATTCTTTATTTTAATTAGTATATCCTTCATTTCTGACTGGTTCTTCTTTATGGTTTACATGTCCATTTTTATGCTGTTGAAGTTCTAAGTTTGTTTACTATTTCTCTAAGTTCATTGAGCATCCTTATAACCAGTGTTTTTTTGTTAATCCTCACCTAGAATATTTTTCCATTGACTTTTAGATAGAATGGAAAGGAGGAAGGGAGGGAAGGAGAGAGAGAGAGATTAATTGATGTGGGAGAGAATTGTTTGCCTCCCACATGATCCTGACCCAGGCTGGGGATGGAACCCATGACCCTTCGGTCCTCGGGCTGATGATCTAAATGCTGAGCCAAACCTGCCAGGGCATAACCAATGTTTTGAACTCTGCTTCTAGTAGATTGCTTGTCTTCATTGTTTTTCATTAATTTTCTGGAATTTTGTTCTGTTCTTTCATTTGGAACATATTTCTTTGTCTCCTTATTTTGACAGCCTCCCTGTATTTGTTTCTATGTATTAGGTAGAGCTGCTACATCTCCCAGGCTTGCTAGAGTGGCCTGATATAATAGGTGTCCTGAAGGGTCCAGTGGCACAGCCTCCCCATTAACCTGAGCTATGTGCTCCAGGTGCACTCTACCCACTCACCCTCCTCATGTGGGCTGTGTACACCCTTCAGTTGTAGTTGAGCCTTGATTGCTGTTCATATGATAATGGGAGGGTACCCCTCATCCCCCAGGCCAATGGGCTGCAAGGACTGGTTGTGACGGGTCAGCTATGCAGGGGCCCACCCTATGGAGCAGGACTTATTTCAGTGGGCAGTGGGTCTCTGGTGCCCACTGAATCACCATGAGTGTGTTGTTTGTGGAGGTGATTAGGTGGTGCTTCAGGTGTGGTCTGAAGCTTCCAGGTAGCTCTAGGCCACCTGGCATGAGCTACAAATTGATCTGCTGATGGCTGTTTTTTTTTGGTTTGTTTTTCTTTGATGGCTGCTATTTTTGCTGTGCCTAAAGGTGTCCAGCAGAGGCCAACCTGTGAACCAAGGCTGGCTGCTGCTAGTGCCAGATCTGGGACCACTTAATAAGAGTATGGGGGCAACTTCAAGGCTAGATGCTGCTTGAGAGATTTTAGGAAAATCTGAAGCATGAGCCAAGAAAAGGCGTTTGTATGGAAAAGCCACTGGAAAGGGTTTGGGTGGGCCCACAATTTGGAGTGGGACAGGTTTTCAGGGAATCACCACATCAGGGTGAACTGATAGCCAGGTTGATAGAGACTCAAATATTGCACCTGCCTGCTGGCTCTCTGGGGGAAGGGCTCAGAAAAATAACAATGGCCTCTGCTGGTACTTCTATCTGGGAAAAGTACCTGCCCCTCCAGCTCTTGCCCTCATGTCAGGCAGTTCAGTTCCTCTACATATGTCCCTGGTGCCTTTCAACCTGCTGCCACAGCACTGGAACTCAGAGGGAGGGAGTAAGTTTGTTCTTGGGCTCTTTAAGAGGAGAACTAGCCCTGTCTAGTGTGGCTTATTTGGTTGGGTGTTGTCCTATGCACTGAAAAGTTGCTGGTTCGATTCCTGATCCTGGCACATGCCTGAGTTGTAGGCTCAGTCTCTGGCAGGGGGCATGCAGGAGGTAACCAATCAGTGTTTTGCTATCACATCAATGTTTCTCTCTTTTCTTCTTTCTGGAAAAAAATTTTTTTTTTTAATCTTAAGAAAAAAAAAGAAAGAGAGAGAGAGAGAATCCCCACTGGTTTTTACAGCCTGAAGTTATAGGGACTTCTCTCCCTGGCACTGGAACCCTGGGTTCAAGGGCCTGGTGTGGGGCTGGGACCCTTTGTTTATCATAGGGGACCTTCACAAGTGACATATCCCTCCACATTTTTATCCCACATGGGTGTAGGACCAGCCTGTTCCCTGTCTCTGCCCCTCTTACCAATCTCAATGTGGCTGCTTCTTGATAATCCTTAGTTGTATGACTCCATTCAGCTAGATTTCGGGTGTTTCTGTGTTTTGTAGTTTAGGTGTACTCGTTTTGATATGGTTGTGGGAGGATACACGTAGCACCTTTATCTATGTCACCATCTTGTCTGGAAGCCAATATTCTATTTTGTTTTTGTTTGTTTTTTATTGTGGATGATGCTTGGTAGAGACTTTGGCTTATTTTTCTTACTCTGAAGAACACTGAGTGTCGTTTTGACAATTAAATTAAACAGATCACATTGATCCTATGGAAGCTAGCTAGATCTGGTCTATTTCCATTTTGCCTTTAATCCTAAAACATAACCATTATTCCTAGAATATGTTTCTTATTCCTTGCAGTGGAAAGTCCAAGGGGTTTACCTTTGTGGTATATAAACGCCTAAATTCTGTCCCTCTGGGATTAGGTAGCTGCAAAGATTTAAAGTACTTTTTTTTTCTGTGCAGATTTGGAACTCTATTTGTTTACTTTTCTGGGATTTCCCCATAGTAGCTTTGGCAGCTTCAAGCTCCCAACTTCATTTACCTCTGCTCAATAAGATTGTTCCCTCTGTGCTCTATAAACAGGGAAGTGCCCTCAGGGGAAAGCCTATTAAATGTGGATCTGCTCCAGTGTAGGAACCTCCTTTAAGAATCTTTGTGACACCTTCAAACAACTTTTTATAATTTTCCCAGAGTTTATAATTGTAATTACCAGGAGGATTAGTCTAATACAACCTACACTCCCATTTTCCAAAATTTCAGAGTGTTCAGGAAACTTGAGGTCTCAGTTGCCTTAAGCTTTCATCAAATAATCAAATGAAATACCTAAAATACGTATCTGTTTGCTCATTAAAATTTTTAAAAATATTATGTAATAAAATAGGGAAAAAAGTTTATATTTGTTGTGATTTTTAACTTTGTTCTGTCTTAGCTATGTAACTATGTAGATGAAAATTAGAAGTCAAATTGTAATCTAGACTATTTAGTAGAAGAGAATTTTAATTAAAAATAATTTTCATTAAAAAAAAATGCAAGCCCTGGCTGGTTTGGCTCAGTGATTAGAGCGTCAGCCTGTGGTCTAGAGAGACCCAGGTTCGGTTCTCACTAAGGGCAGATTGCAGTTTGTCCCTGGCCCTGGCTGGGTCGTGCGGGAGGCAGCCATGCAATGTGTTCCTTTCACATTGATGTTTCTCTCTTTCTCTCTCTCTCTCTCTCTCTCTCTCTCCCTCTCTCCCCCCCCCCCCCTCCCTCCCTCCCACTCTATCTGAACAAAAAATGGAAAGATGTCCACGGGTGAGAATAAAAAATAAAAAAATTGCAAGGGGAAACCTGTTATTTAAAAGCTTATGAGACTTTTGCAATGTAGGAACTTTCTTTTTAGATTCTGATTCAAGCAATATATTTTAGAAATTGAATCAATAGAATTTCAGCACTGAATATTTTATATAAAATAATCACTTTCTTGGTGTAATAATAGAATTGTTATGTTTTTGTTTTTTTTAAAAAAAGACCTCATCATGTAGAGATATATACTAAAATATTTATATTTAAAATAAAATTATATCTAGCCCTGGCCGGTTTGGCTCAGCGGTTGGAGCGTTGGCCTGTGGTCCAGAAAGACGCGGTTTGGTTCCCGCTAAGGGCACGTACCTCGGTTGCAGTTTGTCCCCGGCCCTGGTTGGGATGTGTCCCTTTCACATCGATGTGTTTTTTTCTCTCTCTCTCTCCTTCCCACTCTATCTGAACAAAAAATGGAAAAATGTCCTTGGGTGAGGATAAAAATATAAAAAATAAAATTATATCTAGAGTATGGGTAGGGGCATAATGAAATAAGATTGGCATTATATTGAAGATGGGCTATCTATATATGGGTTTTATTATATTTAATATATAAAAGTTTTCATAATAGTGAAGTTTTTTAAAATTATTTTTGTACTCAGAATTTAAACGTAAAGTCTAAACTTCCTAATAGCTTTTTAAATATTTATTTACCAGAATGGTAGCTGAATGGAGGTTGTCTCGGGGTGTTGAAGAACAAACACAAGCTTTCTTTGAGGGTTTTAATGAAATTCTTCCCCAGCAGTATTTGCAGTACTTTGATGCAAAGGAGTTAGAGGTAATGAGTTTTTCTTCTTTCCTCTGCTGATAAATAATGCCTTCAGTTGTCTGCTTGCAATTCATTTTCCTATTTTGCCAGTGGCAATAGTATTTTTTATGCAGGCAGGATATTTTGAATCATATGTTGTTTAAAATGTCTGTAATTAACCAAATATATAAAATTATTACCAAAAAAAAGTATTACTATCAGAACTTCTCTACAATGAATGACTTATTTACCTATATCTGTGTATATATGACACATTGTAAACTCAACCTTTAGGAATATTGTAGATATAAATATTGATACACAGTTTATAAGCCAAAGCCTTCTGATTAATTTGTTTTTTTGAAAGTTATTTAATATTAGTCCTTTCTTATCTATGTTTAGCATTATTATATAGGTGGTATAATTACCTATAGAAATCATTTATCTTTTTCATCCCTAAAGGTTCTTTTATGTGGAATGCAAGAGATTGATTTGAATGACTGGCAGAGGCATACCATCTATCGTCATTATACTAGGACAAGCAAACAAATCATGTGGTTTTGGCAGGTTTGTCTCAGTTTATTTTTATTGACAAACACACTATAATTTTTAGAAATGTTTTTACCATGTATGAAAATAAGGTACAAAACAAAATGTACCAGTATGTTCAGGCCCCTCATTCCATCCATATTGAATATAGATTATAGTAGCAACTTTTTAAGACTATTGCCAACCAAGTTACACAACCTTGCACCTTTGCCCATAGTATAACTCCAGATGATAAAATGCTTTGGTATTTTAAAAAACTGTCTAAAGTATGATTTTCATCATTTATACCTCATTAATAATTACATAATGTTCAAAAGGCAAACTTAAGAAAGAGACTTGGTTTGGCATTATAATGGTGTCTCTTCAAAAAATGTCTGCTATATTACATGAAAAGGTTTTCAACATCACTAATAATTAGGGAAGTACAAATCAAAATCACAATGAGATACCAATTCACACCCATTAGTGTTGCTATTAGCAAAGAGAGAAAATAATCATCCTTGTTGAGGATGTGGAGAAATTGGAACTCTCCTGCATTCCTGCTGGGAATATGAAATGGTGCGCCACTGTGGAAAAGAGTTTGGTAGTTCCTCAAAAAGTTAAACATAGAATTAACATATGATCCAGCCCTGGCTTGTGTGGCTCAGTTGGTTGGAGTGTCATCCCAAAAGGTGGGGGGTTCGATTCCTGGTCAGGGCACATACCTAGGTTGTGAGTTTGATCTTCAGTCTGGGTGTATGCGGGAGGCAATTAATCGATGTTTCTCTTTCTCTCTCTTCCTCTCTCATCCTTCTTATCTCTCTAAAATTAACGGATATATCATTAGGTGAGGATTTAAAAAAAAAGAACACATGATCTGGCAATTCTACTCCTAGATATACCCAAAAGAATTGAAAGCAGGGACTCAGATACTTGTATACCTATGTTCATAACAGCATTATTCACAATAGCCAAAAGATGGAAGCAACCTAAGTGTCCATCAACAGATGACTAGATAAATAAAATGTGGCATATACATACAAAGGAATATTATCCAGCCTTTTAAAAAAAGTTAATTCTGACATAGGCTGCAACGTGGATAAACCTTAAGGATATTAGGCTAAGTGAAATAAGCCTGCCACAAAGGGAGAACTATTGCAGGATTCCACTTATATGAGGTACCTAGAATAGGCAAATTCATAGAAACAGAAAGTAGAATAGAAGTTACTAGGGGCTGGTGAGAGGAAAGATGGGGCATTGTGGAGATAAGTTTAATGCATTCAGAGTTTTTGTTTGGGATGATAAAAAAGTTCTGGAAATAGTGGTGATAGTTACACAACAGAGTTAATGTACTTCATGCCATTGAATTGTACACTTAAAATGATAAATATTTATGTTATCTATATTGTACCACAATGAAAACTGTTTTTTCATCCCTGGCCAGCGTGGCTTAGTTGATTGGAGTATCATCCTGTACACCAAAAGGAGGCAGGTTTGATTCCTGGTCAGGGCATATGCCCAGGTTGTGGGTTTGATCCCTGGTTGGGGCACATACAGGAGGCAGCCTATTAATGTTTCTCTGTGACCTTGATGGTTCTTTCTCTCTCTCTCTCTCAACTTCCCCTTCCTCTCTCTGAAATCAATGAAAAACATTTAAAAAAATTTTTTTAATTATTTTAATTTAAATTTCTGCTGTTCACATGGTCATAAGAAACACAGATGAGCTCAGCTGCTGAAACAAATAGGATTAGCATTTAAAAATACTTGACAGTAGTACAGTAGGTTAAAATTTATTTATTTATTTATTTATTTTTCCATTTTTTTTTTACAGAGTGGGAGGGAGAGAGAGGAAGAGAGAGAGAGGGAAACATCGATGTGAAAGAGACACATCGAGTGGCTGCCACCCGCACGACCAACCAGGGCCGGGGACAAACTGCAACCGAGGTACATGCCCTTAGTAGGAACCGAACCCGGGTCTCTCCAGACCGCAGGCGGACGCTCTAACCGCTGGACGCCAAACTGGCCAGGGCTAAAATTTATTTTTTATTGATTATGTTTTTATTGATTTTTAGAGAGGAAAGGGAGAGGGGAGAGAGGGAGAGAATCATCGATCAGTTTACTCCTCGCGCTCCCTGACTGGAGATCAAACCAGCGAGCTTTCAGTGCACAGGACAACAGTCAACTGAGCCACACTGGCCAGGGTGGATAAAAATTATTTACTGCCCCGCCAGTGTGGCTCAGTGGATTGAGCATCAGTCATCCCATGGACTGAGAGGTCGCAATTTGATTCCAGGTCAGAGCTTATGCCTGGGTTTCGGGCTTGATCCCCAGTAGGAGGCTTGCAGGAGGCAGCCGATCCATGCTTCTCTCTTATTATGTTTCTGTCTCTCTTTCTAAAAAAGAAAAATTTTTCTTTGCCAAAAAATATTTGGCTGAGCCAAAATACATGCTACAGGCTAGAAAGCATCCTCCAGAAACCTAATGTTTGAGTCAGAGTTATTATATAGGAGTTAAATGCCACATAATTCTGGCAACACTTAGCTGTACCTTAAAGCCTAAAGAACATTGAGAAAAGGAGGTTATTAGGGTAATCTGGATCATAATTCTGAGTTTTATTTCATTTGTTCATAAAATCAAAGTCTGTACTGCCTCAAGCTCTGTTTCCAATGTAACGATATGAATATCCTAAAAGACAGGTAAATCTAGGGTGGAGGAAGAAACTGTTGCCCTAGAACTGATCTTGAGATTACATGAATAGGGAGGTCTTGGGCCCAGGGCATCCTCTTTTTCTATCTCCCCATAAGGGTGTGATCCTAAGAGTTACATAGGGGAAGGTTGGTAGGCTTTGACAAACATGGAGAAGCTCCTCCATCCACAGTGGTGGATACAGTCATTATTATTTTGTGCATCTGACACTAGGAGCTCATTTAAGATTTGCAATAGGTATTTCTTTCATTTGTTTAGTATACTAAATATATGACCTATATATCTCTAAATGTGTTTTTAACAGTTTGTTAAAGAAATTGATAATGAGAAGAGAATGAGACTTTTACAGTTTGTTACTGGAACCTGCCGATTACCAGTTGGAGGATTTGCTGACCTCATGGGTATGTATATAGGATTACTTTTCCCATACAGAAAATTATTTATCACACTGCTGTTACATCAGTGTGTATACAACTTATCAGAAACAACAAAGATAAGTGTAGCTATTTTCTTAAATAGTCATAGTTAACCTGGATTTGTATAAACTTTTATTTATCTATTTATTTTATTTTTTATTTTTTGATACGTGCCCCTAGTGGGAACCGAACCCAGGACTCTGGTCTGCAGGCCGATGCTCCAACCACTGAGCCAAACCAGCCAGGGCTGTATAAACTGTTAAAACACTTTGTACTCCTTACCTCTAGGCATTTTAAACCTTTACACAAGACCCCACATTTTAACTCAGGATAGAATTCTTCTGTTTGTAAATCTATTTGTTTATTCAGTCATTGGCAAACAATTTTGTGTCTCCCGTGAGCCAGACACTGTTGATTGTATTATACTATATTTTCACGATGTGTTTGCCACTCTTCCCTGTTATACCCGAAGTTCCTTAATATATAGAGCCATATCTTCGTTTTATTTCTGGCATGTAGCATATTGCTTTCACATAGTCGTCACTGATTAAGGTGCATTGTTTTGAAAAGAATAACCATGAGAATATTTATTTTGCAACTAAATAATAAAGTAAATTCAAGTTTTCTTAAACATCAATGTGTCCAGTACCATAGGAGGATAAAAAAGTTGTGATCCGCCCTGGCCGGTTTGGCTCAGCGGTTAGAGCGTCCACCTGCGGTCCGGAGAGGCCCGGGTTCGGTTCCCGCTAAGGGCATGTACCTCGGTTGCAGTTTGTCCCCGGCCCTGGTTGGTCGTGCGGGTGGCAGCCACTCGATGTGTCCCTTTCACATTGATGTTTCCCTCTCTCTTTCTCTTCCTCTCTCTCCCTCCCACTCTGTCTGTACAAAAAATGGAAAAATGTCCTCGGATGAGGATTAAAAAAATAAATAAATAAATAAATAAAAATAAAACAAATATTATTTAAAAAAAAAAAAAAAGTTGTGATCCCTAAGCCTGCTTCAGCTGAAGCAAAGAGTCAGAATTAAAAGAACTAGGCAATTTTGGATGTAGTGTGAAACTAGTTTAAATGTCTTTAAAAGCCAGTCCAAATGAATTTGGACATTACTCTCAGGGTATTGGAAGTTATGGAAACTTTTCGAAGAGAGGAAAAACTTGCTGAAGCTTCATTTTATTTTTATTTTTTTTATTATTTTTTTTTATCCGCACCCGAGGACATTTTTCTATTTTTTGTTCAGATAGAGCGGGAGGGAGAGAGAGGAAGAGAGAGAGAGAAACATCGATGTGAAGGGACACATTGAGTGGCTGCCACCCGCACGACCAACCAGGGCCAGGGACAAACTGCAACCGAGGTACGTGCCCTTAGCGGGAACCGAACCCGGGTCTCTCTGTACCGCAGGCCGACGCTCCAACCGCTGAGCCAAACCGGCCAGGGCTGAAGCTTCATTTTAGGAAGATTTGATGGCAAGGCATAGCATGCATTAAAAGATGGGGAGAGTCCTGGCCGGCTTACCGGTTAAAGCGTTGGCCTGTGGTCCAGAGAGACCCGGGTTCAATTCCTGCTAAGGGGCACGTACCTTGGTTGCAGTTTGTCCCCGGCCCTGGTTGGGTCGTGCGGGTGGCAACTACTCGATGTGTCCCTTTTCATGTCGATGTTTCTCTCTCTCTCTCTCCCTCCCACTCTATTTGAACAAAATATCGAAAGATGACCTCGGGTGAGGATAAAAAAAAAAAGATAGGGAGAGCCCTGGCCACTTTGGCTCAGTGGTTGGAGCGTCAGCCTGCGGACCAGAGAGTCCTGGGCTTGGTACCCCCTAAGGGCACGTACCTCAGTTGCAGTTTGTCCAGGCCCCCGTTGGAGTTGTGTGGGTGGCAACTACTAGATGTCTTTCTCTATCTTCCTCCCCTCTCCCTTCTGCTCTGTCTGAAGATAAATGCAAAAGTGTCCTCGGGTGAGGATAAAAAAAAAAAAAAAAGATAGGGAGAGCCCTGGTTGTTGTAGATCAGTTGGTTGGGTGTAGTCTTGTGCACCAGGAGGTTACCCATTCAGTTCCCAGGCAAGGGCACATGCCCAGGTTGCAGGCTCCATCCCCTGTAGAGGGTGTGCAGGAGGCAGCTGACTGATGTGCTCTGCTATCACATTGATGTTTCTCTCAAAATCAATTAAAACAAAAACAAAAAATGATTGTGTGTAAAGGTATGCCCTATAGAATCTATAAGCACAAGCATTGTTAAAATTAATTAGGTTGTATACATTTTATAAAGTTTTAACCATTTTATAGTTAAATCAAGTTTTATCATGTAAGATAGCAGATTGTAGTTTCTCAGTTATGTTTAAAACTAAAAGTAAGCTATTTATGTGTTCTGTTATGTATGGTATTATTAATTACAATGTTCTATTATTCTGGCTAAAGAATGCTAAATAGCCCTGGCCAGTTTGGCTCAGCGGTTGGAGTGTCTGCCTGCAGTTCGGAGAGACCCAGGTTCAATTCCTGCTAAGGGCATATACCTCAGTTGCAGTTTGTCCCCGGCCCTGGTTGGTCGTGAGGATGGCAGCCACTCGATGTGTCCCTTTCACATCGATGTTTCCCTCTCCCTCCCACTCTATCTGTACAAAAAATGGAAAAATGTCCTTGGGTGAGGATAAAAAAAAAAAAAAAAAAGAATGCTAAATAGCCCTGGCCGGTTTGGCTCAGCTGTTAGAGAGTCAGCCTGCAGTACAGAAGAGATCTGGGTTCGGTTCCCGCCAAGGGCATGTACCTCAATTGCAGTTTGTCCCTGGCCCTGGTTGGTTCCTGTCCTTTTCGCGTTGATGTTTCTTTCTCTCTCTCTCTTCCTCTTTCTTCCTCCCACTCTATCTGAACAAAAAATGGAAGAATGTCCTCGAGTGAGGATTAAAAAAAAAAAAAAGAATGCTAAATAAAACTGCATTTTCTTCTCATAGGCAAAAAGGTTGTCAAAGTTTCACATTCATCAAAATCACGTGAAAGTTTGTTAAAACTTATTTCTGAGCCTCTCCCCAAGACTCTTTGATTCAGGCTTGGGATAGGGCCTGTAGTTTTGTGATTCTAAGTTCCCTGGTGATACTAATCTGATGCTGCTGTATTGGGGATCATAATTTGAAAACCATTGCATTATCAAACTGTTGATGATTTCACTATGTTTTAGGGAGCAATGGACCTCAAAAATTCTGCATTGAAAAGGTTGGGAAAGAAAATTGGTTACCCAGAAGTCATACCTGGTAAGTAAAATTAGAAAGAATAGAGAAAATAGCCTTTTCCAGTTTTGTAGATATTGAAGCCTATTTGAAATTAGAAATGAAATATTTTCCCCATTGCATTGAATTATTTTAACAGCTTTATTGAGGCATAATCTACATACTACAAAACTTACCCATTTTAATTTAATGATATTTTGTAGATTTACAGAGTAGTAACCACCACTACAATCCAATTTTAACATATTTCCATAACCCCAAAACAATTTGCCCATTTACAGTCAATCCCTCTTCCCACCCTTGAGGGTTTTTTTTAAATGTGTGATAGTTAGAAAACATTTAACTCTTCTCTATAGGCACAAGAAGAAATCAATTCTAGATAGCTATCAGAAGAGCTACTTTCTAACATGGTGAACAGAAATATTATTTGCTCATAAATGAAGTTTAAAAACATTTCCAAAAATGTATAAAACTAAAAACCAACTGTAATCTTAACTCAAATACAGTATGTTGGAATTCGACCTAAAAGCTCAGCAATATTTGAACTTTATTTTGTGAGACATTTCTGTGGTCATATATGGACTTTGATGGATATTCTTTTATTGTCCCCATCTGTCCTTTTTGTTTTATTGTTTGTTCCTTTATATTTTCATACACGTACATGTGGTTTTTAAAAAATAACAACTTGGCCCCTTTCTTGAAAATCAATTAACAATAAATACACTGGCTTATTTCTGGATTCTCAGTTCTATTCCGTTCATCTCTATGTATATCCTTAATGGCAGTACCTCTGTTTGTCTTGGTTACTATAGCTTTGTAGTAAGTTTTGAATTTAGGAGGTATGCATCTTCCAACATTTTCAAGATTGTTTTGGCTATTCTTTGTGCTTTGGATTTCCATGTGAATTTTAGGATCAACTTGGCCATTTCAGCAAAGAGGTCAGGTGGGATTTTGATACACATCACTTTTATTTGTAGATCAGTTTTGGGGGAATATTGCCATCTTAACAGAATTTTGTCTTCCAATCATTGTACATGTGCGGTCTTTCCATTTATTTAGATCTTCTAAATTTTTTTATTTTAACAGTGTTTTATAGTATCCCATTATACAAGCCTTGCATTTCTTCTGTTAAATTTCTTAAGTATTTTTTCCTTTTTGAAGCTATATATGGAATTGTTTTTTAATTTCATTTTTATTGCTAGTAAATATAAATACAATTGATTTTTGTATATTTATCTTGTACACGTGTTTTGATTTGACTACTTGTCTCTTACATTTTTTGAAACCTAGAACGGACTATACTATTACACTGTTATGAACAGCTTATCTCAATCATACATGAGAACCAGCCTCAATACATTGTAAAGTTCCATGTTTTTATTTGCAAGAAGTAACAGAAGTAATCATTGTAAATTTAATATTAATACAGTCCAAAATTAGAAGATGCCCTTTAAAAACACAGCCAAGAATAGGACAAAGAAATTCATTCAATAGGAGAATATTAGATATCAGAGCAGAAAATTATTTCTTACTCTTAAAGTGGTATACTTTAAAACTTTTTTTTTTTTAATTCCTCACCCGTGGATATTTTATTTATCATCGGATAGAGTGTGGGAGGAGAGGGAGAGAGAGACAGAGAGAAACATCAACGTGATAGAGCCACATCAACTGGTTGCCTCCTGCATGACCCAACCAGAGCCAGGGACGAACTGCAACTGAGGTACATGCCTTTGACCAGAATCAAACCCACTACTCATTGGTCCGCAGGCTGACGCTCTAACCACTGAGCAAAAGCGGCCAGGGCTATTTAAAACCTTTTGATAAGAGATGTATGACCTACAAAGCCTAAAATAGTTACTATCTAGACCTTTACAAAGTTTGCTGACCAATGATCTAGATTGGGGGGGGGGGAGCATGAAAGGACTAACATTTTACTGAGTACCTGCTAAGCCACCAGACACTGTGCTATAATATATATATGCTTGTTTCTTCTTCACTGTACCCTAAGAGGTAACTACTGTTAATTCCTATTTTACCAAAGCGGAAATGAGACTCAAAAAGGTAATAGCATGCCCAACCACTGTGGCTTAGTGAACCAAGAGGTCGCTGGTTTGATTCCCAGTCAGGGCACATGCCCAGGTTGTGGGCCAAATCCCTTGGGGGCATGCAGGAGGCAACCAATCGATGTTCTCTCTCATCGATGTTTCTCTCTCTCTCTCTCTCCCCCTCTCCCTTCCTCTCTCTCTAAAATCAATAAAGAATTTTTTTCAAGTCTTTTTTAAAAAAGTAATAGCACTTGTTCAAAGGCCAAGGGGTCTCTCTCTCTCTCCCCCCCTCCCCTCTCCCCTCTCTCTCACTCTTTTCTCCCCCCAACACCCCCTCCACTCTCCCCCTTTCTTTCCCCCTCCCCCCTCCTTCTCTCTCTCCTCTCCCCCCTCCCTCTCTCTCTCCACCCCCATGAAGAAAAAAATAAATAAACTGAAAAAATAAAATAAAATTAAAAAAACAAAGGCCAAGGGATGGAGATGGGATTGACCCAGTTTTGCTTGACTTTAAAAACCAGCATTGTGCCCTGGCCAGTTTTGCTCAGTGGTTAGAGCATCGGCCTATGGACTGGAGAGACCTGGGTTTGGTTCCTGTTAGGACTGTACCTTGGTTGCAGTTTGTCCCCAACCCCAGCTGGGGTTGTGTGGGTGGCAACCAGTCAATGTGTCTCTCTCACATCGTTGTTTCTCTCTCTCTCTTCCTCCCTGTCTCCCTCCTGCTTTGTCTGAAGATAAATGCAAAAAAAAAAAAAACACAAAAAAAACCCAGCATTGTTATATACTACATTGCCCATATGATTCGTTGTATATTTCCTTTTCTCAAACTAACAATTCTTACTTTTAGTTTTAACCGCCTGGACCTACCACCCTATAAGAGCTATGAGCAACTGAAGGAAAAGCTGTTATTTGCGATTGAAGAAACAGAAGGATTTGGACAAGAGTAACTTCTGGGAACTTGTACCACCGAAGGACAAGAACTTACTTGCAATGTTTGTCCTTTTCCTACTCTGCCTGTTGCACATCTTGTTGTAAAATTGGACTGTAACTGTTTAGAAGGCTATCTGAGTATAAGTAAATTAATGTTATTAGTTATTGAGATTTATCTACCAGTGATTCTGGATTTTTACTCAGTGTTTCCAGAAATCAGATCTGCAGATGACTAGTCAAAACTTTACTTAACATGAGATTTAACACAACAATGAAATCTGATTCGTCTTATTCCACTAGATTGTTTCCTTAATTATGTATATGTGTATCAAAGGTCTCACTCTTCCTTTTACATTCTAGAACAATAACAAACATTTTAAACTCATGTATCTGTACTTTAAAACACTGCCATCCTAAAGCAGACTTTATGTGAGTGAAAGGATTGCCTCATCCAGAAATTGTTAGTATGAAGGGGGAGAGTAAGGCTCTCCCTCCTCAACTCTACATTTATTTTGTTTTTGTTTTTTTTATTCCATATACTCCAAGAAATATATGTAGTATGGTCTCTAAAAGTCCTAGTTTTTTTCCCTAAAGTCAAGACACTCTACCTTTTGTTGGTAGGGGAGAAAAAAATGCTGTTGCTTTGTCTTACAGAGCGAATGTCTGCCAACTGCCCATTCATTATATAAGTCTGAACTTTGGTAATATATGGCTATGGAAATTAAGCCTTCTATAAAGACTTCCTATAGAGGTGATTTCTCCTATTGAAATGTAGTTACCTGCAATATTTACTAGAGATTTATGAGATTAAATTAAGAGATAATGTAAGAAAATAGACTTTTCTGATTCTACATAATGCTTGATGATTCATTTAGGGACCTAGAAATATTGTGTGAAAATGTATAAATATCATCCAAAAGGCTTTCTGCCCTATATTTTTAAAATACAGAATAGTTATATTTTAAGTAGTCCTGGCCCTAGTTCTATAGGGCCTGGCTATTTAATATTTTTATGGAAAAAACATTTAGTTCTGGAAAAGGTAAATGCTTGTATATATTTTTGCAGCCTGGGACCTCCCTTACTCCATTTCTTCCTTTAATTTAAATGGCCACATGTATATGTCTTCCCTGCTGTGTTAGGAAAATGGGGGCTGGATATCCCAAGAATCAGAGGTTTTATAAAAAAAAAAAAAATACTGCAAGTAGATAGCAGACATAAATATCTACCAAATGCTATCTTAAATTTTGGTCCAAACTGAACATTTGGAAATAGATTTATTGTAAGTGTTTAATTAGAGCAATTTCTTAAATCTGAACTAAATTGCTTTTAGAGTTCTTTTTCTTTGTAAGCATTGTAAATGCTAATAAATTCTGTTAAATTTTTTTTTTTTTTTTACTGCATGTTATGTTGAAATAAAAACAAAGTAAAATGAGCAATTGCCTTATTCTTCTGCTCTTTTGGGAGGTTGGGGAAAACAGCCTGGGTCTGCAGGGAAGGACCTCACTTGTTTCATCAAATAAGAGTGCTTTAAAACTGATGCAGCCACTCATGATAATGAATTCCTACTCTGTCTTTTATGATCTTATATTGTGCAGAAGAATCTAATTTTATAAGACTTACAATAATTCTATTTATGATTGAGGTACTAATTTTTTACCAAGAGATTGACATACTAATGTCAATTCATCAGAAATTTAAGTGAAATATAACTCACCTGCCCACAAAGTTCTCAATGAGCTATTTCTGTCAAGCCCACTCAGTCACTTTTTATTAATCTGGTTAATACTCTGAAATATTATCAGGAATCACTCATGGAATTAGACTTCTCTATATTTATATCCCTCCTTGGTTTGGATGTAACTCCATCCTCAAACTTCTTAAGGTTAATACTTCTATTTAATATTATTGGTATCTCCAGCCCCCTCATTTTTTGTCTAGGGATTTTTTTAGAGTTATTTACAAAACTATTTTTATATGTATGCTATGCTTTCATTAAGTAAAAAGGGAATAGCAGCACTAGATTATATATTACTGTATTGGCATTCCTTTTTTTCTTGAACTCTAATTTCATATACTCAGGTAACTCCACAACTATCACAAGGAGTCAAGTGCTCTTATAAAGGCCCTTCAGGGGGATGCCTCACTTGCATTTCCTTAAAAGATGTAAGACTGTTTATAATTAAAGTTTTTTGGTCATTCATTTGCATTTTCCTATTAATCTTGAGCAAGAAGGTTTTTACTACCCGCAGAAAAGACCAGATCTTAATAGATTTCTGACTGCTTTTGTAAGGGGCCAGGTTACAGCCTGGAGTGGGTAGAGAAAAAAAAAAAGGAGAGCCTAGCTAGTGTGGCTCACTGGTTGAGCATTGACCCATGTACCAGGAGGTCGCTGGTTCGATTCCCACTCAGGGCACATGCCCAGATTGTGGGTCCAGTCCCAGTGGGGGGCACGCAGGAGGCGTCCAAGGTCTTTCATGACCTTGACATTTTTTGAAGAGTACTGTCAGATACTTTGTAGAGTGTGCCTCAATGTGGTTTAATGTTTTCTCATGGTTAAGGCCCTGCGATTTTTGTGAAAAATACTACAGAGGTGATGTGCCCTTAGTTCATGATATAGCGGGGACGCATCAATATATTCCATTACCAGTAATGTTAACCTGGATCCTGTGGTTAAGATGGAAGGAGTACCAAATCCTTCCCCAATTAAGATAGGCTAAAGTGGAATGAAAAATTCCACTGAATTCAGCAAACTCCAGTGCCTCAAGAAAAATCATTCGGAAAGGGATGCTGAGGCTACCGGAGATAGCACGTGTAAGTGTTCACGAGGCACAAGGTCCACTAAATCGGAGTTTAACAGGTTACAGTGATACCTCGGTTCTCGAACATAATTCGTTCCAGGAGGACGGTCGAGAACCGAATTGTTCGAGAACCGAAGCAATGAAACCAATAGGAAAGCGTGACTCCACAAAGCGTGACTCTCTGCACTCACACTGATGACGCAAGCAAGGCGCGCTGGGCCGAATGAACGCCATTCGGCTCATCTCGGAAGTTCGAGTTCCAAATATTTGTTCGGATTCCGAGACAAAAGTTTCTCGAATCTCCATTTGGTCGAAAACCGAGGCGTTCGAGAACCGAGGTATCACTATTTCCTGATAAAAAAAACAAACAAATTTTTGTGGTCTTTTAGACTAGACGGCTAAAGAGCGGGAAAAGTGACACCATAGGGCTTTGGAAAGAAGTGCCCCCCCCCCTTTTTTTAATTTTTTTAATTTTTATTTTTTTAACCTCACCCGAGGACACCCTTCGATATTTTGTTCAGACAGAGTGGGAGGGAGAGAGAGAGAGAGAAACATCTATATGAAAGGGACACATCGAGTGGTTGCCACCCGCACAACCCAACCAGGGCCGGGGACAAACTGCAACCGAGGTACATGCCCCTAGCAGGGGCCGAACCCGGGTCTCTCCAGACCGCAGCCAACGCTCTAACCGCTGAGCCAAACCGGCCAGGGCGAAGTGTTCCCCCTTTTAAAGGCGAGAAAAGGACGGAGCTAGAGATGTGAACTGGATTCTAATTAACACAGGAGTGGTGAGGGTTGAGCTCGCAGTCCTGACTGCAGACTCCCAGGCCAGCCCTAACCACTTCATCTCAGAGGCTGCATTTAATATTACCAAGGGGGTCGCTCTGGAGACCCCAGAGACGCTTAACTATAGCCCCAACGCTGGACTAGTCCGCATCTTCGGCGCATTTTGGCTCCGCGCCTCACACTGCCTCAGTCTGGTCGCAGAGAAGGTGGGAAGTGTCTAAGCAACTCCCCTCCTTGCTTTCATACTCGCCCACCACCCTCCACTCAGGGCTTTTCAGAGCCAGCTCAGACCTCGGTTGACAGTTGAGAAAGCCTCTTCTGACACTGCAAACCAGCATCTTTTCGGCACAGCGGGGGTCGGGAATTTTCCATAGCTGAAATGCTCCTTTGCTTTTCACTTCCGGACGGCGCAGGACAAATTCCCCTCGAGCCCTTGGGGGATATAGAAAATCTGCCTGGCCCCTCACATTGGCTCCTGATTGGCTACTGACGCTGTCTGTTTTGACATAGTGCTCTGCGCAGGCGCGGAAACGCACCGGGACTGGATTGTGCTGGCGACGCAGAGCTACCTGACAGGTCCGAGATGGTGAGTGTCTGCCTTGAGCTTCTGGCTGGTGGCCGGAAGGCCGCCCCACTCCTTGCGCCTGGCCTTCCATCCTCCGGGGGCGTCTCTGAGGGCTGAACTGGGAGTCCGCTGGTTTGGGCCCGAGCTGAGTAGAGGGTGGAACGCGAGCGATGTGGGCCTCCAGACCCGGACCGAGGGGACTCAGGCGGGGCCAGGGGATCTCGGGCCCCTTGACCGGAAGCCGGAGCTCGGGCCTTGGCCAGGCCCTGACGGAGATGGGGAGGCCGGCCCACAGGCCAGTGCATCCTAGCACTCTGGGCCTTGTTGCGTGATTACAATGACAACATTTCCTGGAAGCTTAATTTGTGTCACGCACTAATGAGTGCTATACGTAGTTTGGCTTTCCTCCTCACCACATCTGAGAAAGATACGACCATTATCCCTATTTTATATACACGAAAACTAAAACCTGCTGAAGCCTAGAGCCTTCTCCTAGGAAATGGCGGAGGTGGATTTGAACCCTTGAAACTTGACTCCTGCTTTTCTGTCCGTGCGGTTCTTCCGTGTCGGTGGGACTTGGTGCATGAATCAGAAATGGGCGGGACCACTCTTGGGGGTTCCTGCGTTGCTGGCGGCGTTACGCCTTTACAGGCTTGTTTTTTCATGTTTTTAATCCTCCCAACTAGTGGGAAATTTTTTTGAAAATATCTTTTAAATGTTAAGCCATGTGCCTGTATTACTTTTCAAAAATCTCATTTAAAAATGCAAAGTCAGTAAGAAAAATTGAAGAGGAAAAAGAAACAGTGCCATGATCTAGAGGCAACCACTGATATAATTTAGGTATATAACTTACAGTGTTTTTCTCTTCAGTTCTTCTTTTTATTTTTTTAATCAATTCTGACTGTATATCGTTAACTCGTGCTGAATGTACACTTGTGGACTCCGCCTTTTTTTTTAATCCTCATTCGAGGACATTTTTGCATTTCAAATAGAGCGGGAGGGAGGAGGAGGAGAGAGAGAAACATCTATGTGAGAGAGACACATGGACTGGCTGCCACTCACACACAACCCCAGCCTGTTGGGGACAAACTGCAACCGAGGTACATGCCCTTAGCAGGAAAGGAACCCGAACCTGGGTCTCTCTGGTCCACAGGCCAAAGCTCTAACTCCGAGCCAAACCAGCCAGGCTGTGGACTCCGCTTTTTAAATTTGTTATTACACCACAAAGAATGTTTTCGAATCACTAAGAAATATGTGCTAATGCTTCAAACATATGTAACTTTGTCTTTCACATCACTTTTTAAACTTTAAACAAAAAGTAATTTTTTAACAGATAGTACTTACATACAGTAAAAAGAAAAACCCTGAAAGGATCTAAGTGAAAAATAAATCTTCCACCCAACCCTGAACCCAGCCTCAGTCTCTTCTGAAACATTTAGTTTCTTGTATATCTTCTATATTATATATATATCCCCTCTTTTTCTTACACAAATTGTAGCTTACTGCAACCTGTACCATGCTGTTGTGTATTTATACTCATAAAGCAAAACAGAAAATTTAAGCGGTAATAAAGTATATCATGTAGAAAGTGCATGAAGTCCCACTTCACTCCCTTATGGTAACAACTGTTGGCATTTGTGCATGTTTCCTTCCAAGATTGGTTTAGTGCATAAGCGCAGGTACATACATATAAGCTGTTTATTACATGTAACTGAAACATCTTTGTTTATACTTATTAAGCTTACTTTAGACTATGTATAGACATCTCATTTTGCAACTTACTCTGTTCTCTTAAAAATATCAGTCCATGCCCTGGCCGATTTGGCTCAGCGGTTAGATCATCGGCCTGCGGACCGGAGGGTTCCAGGTTCGGTTCCCGCTAAGAGCATGTACCTGGGTTGCAGTTTGTTCCCGGCCCCAGTTGGGGTCGTGTGGGTAGCAACCACTCCATGTATCTCTCTCACATTGATGTTTCTTTCTCTCTCTTCCTCCCTTGCTCCCTCCTGCTCTGTCTGAAGATAAATGCAAAAAAAGTGCCCTTGCGTGAGGATAAAAAAAAATACATATATCAGCCCAGCCCTGGCCAATGTGGCTCAGTTGGTTGAGTGTCATCCTGTGCACCAAAAGAATGCTGGTTCGATTCCCAGCCAGGGCACATGCCCAAGTTGTGGGCCAAATCCCCAGTGGGGGGCATGCAGGAGGCGGCCAATCAGTGTTCTCTCTCATCGATGTTTCTTCTTCCCTTTCTCTCTCTCTAAAAATCAATAAAGGAAAAAAATATATACATATATTAGCCCTGGCTGGTGTGGCTCAGTTGGTTGGGTGTCCTCCCATGTACCCATAGGTTGCCAGTTCGATTCCTAGTCAGGGCACATGCCAGGGTTGCAGGCTCCATCTGCAGTAGGGGGCACGCAGGAGGCAGCCTCCTGATATTTCTCATGAATGTTTCTCTCTTCCTCACCCTTCTTTAAAATCAATAACAAAACATTTTTTTAAAAATCAAATATTTTTCCATGTCAGTATATATAAATCTACTTCATTCTTATTAAGGACTATAGAGTATTTTATTGTAGTATATACATTTAGGTGTTTTACAGTTTTTCTCTTCAGACACTGCTGCAGTAACTGTTATTGCCCTTTGTTTTTCTTAACATGTATGCTAATGATTATGTAGTGTTTATGTAGCATAGATTCCTAGAAGTGGTACTTCTGGCATACATATTTTATATTTTGGTAGAAACTGCTAAATTGCCCTTTAGAACAATAATCATCTATAATTCTCATCCAGTTTTACTCTTCCACACAGCTATTTTCATCTCTATGTTCTCCCTCTTCTTTGTTCACATATACATATTTTTCAAGATGTATATGCTAGTTTTTCTTTTTTGTTTGTTTTAATCTTGCTGTTGCGTCATCTTTGTGATGAATTATTTTGTGCTGTGTAATAGTCAGTGAAAATAGCTAGACCATAATTTGCCAAACTATTCCCCTGGTGTACATTTGTGTTGCTTCTAGTTCTTCATTAGTAGAGATAATGCTGTGATGAATGCCTCTGAATGTGTAGAGTTTGTTGTATTTTTCCGTTTTGTTGTTGTTGTTGTTTGTTTGTTTGTTTAATTTTATTAGACTATTTCCTTAGGCAAAAGACTCAGGAAAAGAAATTCTGAGGCAAAAGGACCAACGCTTTATGGTTCTTGTAATAGTGTTGTCTTGCAGTGCTCCCAAAAGGCATATTGCCTTTGTATGAATTTTGCCATAACATTGCCAACACTGAAAAAAGTTAACTCAGCATTGCTATACTTTTTCATTTCTTTATTTACAGGGAACAATGAACATTTTTCTGTGTTTGTAATTTCTCTTATTTATTTATTTATTTTAGAGGACGGGAGAGGGAGAGAGAAACATCGATGGGTTGCCTCCCACACATACCCGGACCACAGATTTAACCTGCAACCTGGGAATGTGCCCTGACCTGGAATCGAACCTGTCACCTTTTGGTGTACAGTACAACACTCCAACCAACTAAGCCACACTGGCCAGGGCTGCAATTTCTTGAAGGTGTATTTTCTACTGGTATCCTTTTTGCCCACTTAACTTTTAGAGACTTGCTATTTTTTTAAATCATTTTGTGTGATATTTTGGAATCACTCCTGTTCGTTATATTTGATGCACATGTGTTCCTATCCTGTTGATTCATTTTGGTTTCATAAAAATTTAGATTTTTGCTCAGCCAGAATGATGCAGTTGGTTGAGCATTGGCCCATGCACCACAAGGTGTTGGGTTCAATTCCCAGTCAGGGCATATGTCTGGGTTTCGGGTTTGATCCACAGCTGGGAAGTATATTGAAGGTAACTGATCAATGTTCGTCTCCCCTCTCCCCACTTTCCTCTCTCCCTCTCACTCTAAGCATGCCTCAGGTGAGGATTAAAATTTTTTTTCAAATTTTTATGGTCAGTAGTCAAATTGGTCACAGTTCCCTTGTGAATAATTTTCTTCAGATGGTTATTTCTCCTCTGCTGAACTAATAAATAATCCTGGAGTTTTACTGCTACTTATTTTTCCATCTGTCAGCAATGTGCACCTGGAAACTGAGAACCCTGGAGCTTTGTCCTTTCCTTGATGCAGACATTCATTCTGATAGTCCTGCAGACTATGCTGAGGATACCAAGGGGGCTTTCTATGAGTTGACCCTGGGAGATACGTATCTACTCCGATATTTCTGGTACCACTTGGCTAGCACTGCAGGGATAACAGACTTTGGCATGACTTGGATGCTTGACTAGAACTGTCCTTTTCCATCTGTAAATGCCCCTGCTGAGGCATGTAGCTTTTTGGTAACATTTGTTTTCTTTCTTGGCTCCTGTAGAGCTGTACTTGAAGTTTGTTTTAAGCAGTTTCTCCTGAACCCAGACAGGTAGCTGGTGCCCCGTGCCTCATGGAGACCTCTCTAGCCTTCATAATCCCCACTCACCCAGGCCTAGCTCCACTCTACTGCTTGGGGTCAGGTTGGAGAAGGTATTCTCTAGTCTTACAGGGAAAAAAAATTGACTGCATAACAATTTTTAGCTTCTGATTACCAAAAAAAAGGAAAAAAAAATCATAAGATTAAATGAAAAAAATGGGAGAAGTATAATTTATATGATGGACAAAAGTCTATTATTTCTAACATATGAGTTTTGAAAATCAGTAGATTTGCCGAAAAATCAAAAGACTCCAAAGAAGAGAGATGCAGGCAGTAAATTCCATTTTAACTTCAATGATAACTCTTAAAAATTAAAGGTTGGCATTCTATTATTTTGTTTTTGCCTATCAGATTAGCAAAGAATCAAGAAACTTGGCAATACTGATCATCGCTATTCCTTGAACATGCTAGATTTGTTCCCACTTTGCTTTCATCTCATTGCCTGGTGTGCTTTTCTTTCTCATCATTTAGTTCTTGGCTTAATGATTACATCCTCAAGTGTTCCTGACCACACTAGCCAGAGTAGCAACTCCTGCTCCCCTGCTCTGTTCCCTACTAGAATCTTTGTTTAAAGTTAAAGTTCTCTTCTACCAGAATATGAGTTCCCCTGACTGCAGGGACTTCATCAGTTGTGGTCAAAGGTATATTTAGCCCTTTTCTTGACCTTTGTGTCCTTGGGCAGAACTCTCTTTTCTGAACTTTTTCTTCATTGTAAAATACAGATCATACTAATCATGAAAGGTCAGAGGACACATGTCTGAAAACATTCATCCCAATATCTGACCTGTAGCAGGTACTGAATAGGTTATCATACACTTGTATGTCCTGTCTTGGTTTGTGTGTTTTTCCTTTAAGCAACCAGATCTCAGTGGCTCTTTCTCACTAAACTTAGGAGCATGCAGAACTCTATCTCTTTTTCATACTGGGTATACTGTAAGGCTGTGTCCCCTGTCCTGTACTTTAAAAGGTTTTTGTAAAACATAGTTGCAGAAATGCTTTTTATTTGTTCCTTAAGTATTGAGCCTATACTGTGCCAGTTACTAGGGCTATAGAGTCTAGGTCCCTGCTCCCAGGGTGCTTTGGGTCTGAAGGAGGAGACAGATATGAAACAGTTACACTCCATTATGATAAGTGCTGTGAAGGGAGAGTGTAATGGATACCCAGAAGAGGGGTAGGTGTCAGAGATCTCCCATAGGAGGCCCATGAAGTGAGTCCAAAAAGTTTGTAGTTAGTTATATCAAGTAGTGAGTGAGGGAGAAAAGATTGCTTTCTTCAGAAGGAGCAGCTCATGCCTAGGGCTCCTGGCTCAAGCAGGCTGTGCTTGCCCCCTGCAGCCTATTCTCTGTAGAGCAGCCAGAGCTGTCCTTTTGAAACATCAGGTCTCATCACTCATCACCCCAAAACCTGCTAGTGGTTCCCCAGATCATCCCCATTAAAAGCCAAAGTCATTACTGTGACCCACTAGGCCCTCTGAAATCTAATCTGATCTTGGTTACCTCTCATTTGGCCACCTGCCACTATGCACTTCAGCCACACTGGCTCCTTTGCCTTTCCTGCAGTGTGCCACCTTCCCACCTCAGGGCTCTTGTAAGGACACCCCATTCCCAATGTCAACTTTATGACGGCAGGAATGTTTGTTAAGTTTCATTCACTACAGCATCCCCAGGCCTAAAACAATGTCTGGCACATAGAAGGCACCCATAAGTTACTAAATAAAGAGCAGTTTTATGAAATTTTATCCTTTTTCGTTTCAGCCCTACTTTCCATCCTCCAGGGGATATTTTGGACCTCGATTCTGACATGTTTAGTTTGGGCTGTCTTTCCCCTTCCCCGGGTTGATTGCAGATTGATTGAGCTGTCCTAAATTGTCATCCAGCTTATTATGTATTCTTCTTCTTAAAATGTTGAATATGTTAGAGATCTTGGGTAGATACACTGAGAGAGGTGTTAAAAAAAATGTTTTTAAATAGAAACAATATACTAGAACAAAAAGAGGCTGTTTTGGAGAGAGAGAAAAAGAAAACCTTATCTATAATTCCCTGCTCTCATTGTGGCTTTTTATTTTTTTCATACTCCTTCTTGTTTTCATGTGGTTGCAGTCACCAAGCATTTTATTTTTGCATTTAGTTATTTTTACTTAAGGTTATATCATAAACTTTCTGTGGTTTATTCTGATAATTGTTAATGTGTATATTATATTTCTATGAATGGACATTCTATAATTTACTTGGCCTTTTCCCTAATTATTGGGCATTTTGGGCTCTTTCTACTTATTGCTAATGCTGATGTCACTACAGCAATCATCTTGCTGTGTTCGTCTAGTTCTTCTGGATTATTTCTGAGTACTGTGTGGTATTGACTGCTATCGTACTTTACCCTGCCTCTCCAGAATAACACATAGTAGGAGCTCAGTGACAGTCTGTTGAATGAACAGTGATTTCATACATGCATGATCCACTGTATTGTATTCTCATGTAGCCTGTCCTTTTACACAGGCTCCAGATTTTAGAGGTGACAGGCTATTTGCCATTTTGTAAGAGGAATTTGTTTGCCCTTCTCTCCAGCATTTGAGAGTATTCTTACATCACAGGGGAGTGGATGGCAGTGACTGGATTGTTAGCCTTGTGCCTACTAGAAAAACAATAATTCATTGTTCTATCTCCATCCACTGTTTAGAAGCTCCTCCTCCCAGGCCAACTCATTAGCTTCTGGGAGTGGGGAACCATTCTCTTTTGGAGAATGGAGCCTCTATTTCCAACATAGTCCAACTCTCAGCCTTTGGGGAGCTTCTGGCTGGTTTCTGGACCCTTCTGGAAGGGGCCTCCAGACAACAAGCTCACTTCAAGGCCAGTTTTCCCATCCACAGGAAGAGTTAGGCCTGCTTCAGTTAAGCAGTTGTGTATTGAGTCCCTATTCTGCAGACCATTCTAGGAACTCTTACGTAATACACTTACCTGATGCATCCCAGAGAGGTACAATCAAGAGTTTGCAGAGTCAGAAGTGGCAGACTCCACTAAGTTGGGGATCAGTAGAGGCTTTTTGAAGGAGGTGATATCTTAGATGGTCTGGAAGAATTTGTTGGATTTCAGCAAAGAAGAGGCCTTGCTAGGGTAAAAAAAACATGGAGACAGGGAGGTATGGCATGGAGAGTGAAGGAAAAGATTAAAGATGTGAGTGATAATATAGAATGCCTTGTAAACAGGGTGAGGAACAAAATGTCTGATTGTCCTCTCTGTTTACAAATTCCATGTGCCAGAATATCCCACCCTGACTAGTTTCTGGAGAATTAGGATTAATGAGCCCCTACCCCAGGCACATTTCCTGTGGCTATGAGCCATGTGTCACACTATCACAGATGCTAACTTATTAAGTCATTGAGTGTGTCTTCGTGGGGTCATTTTGCTTCCTTTGGAATGTTTTCAGTTGTGCTGTTTGGGCCACAAATGACTGTGTCTCCTTCCTGTTAGACATTACTGTTTGTTTGTTTTTTAGATCATCAGCGTCCTATCTCCTGGGTATACCAGATACATGAGTCATTGATGTGTCTATACTCCCAGGAATGGTATTTATATTCTGCTCCCACATAGCTGAGGCAAGAGGAATAATAGTGCCTGGTAGGCAAAGGGCCAAGAGGAGCCCCGCCACTTGCTGAGGGTGTGAGTAGATGGTTTAGGTGCTGGTGGAGGCTTGGAGACCACTCTAAACAGGCCTGGGGAGCTTTGAGGAAGTGCCACGTGCCCAGGTGTTACTTGTTTGTTGTTGGAAGACAAATGTGTGATTCATCTGCCAAGTGTATGAGGGAGTTAATTTAGACTTCCTGGCCCCTCCTAACCCTGGTCTTGTTCTCTCTGGCAGGCAGAGGTGGAGGAGACACTGAAGCGACTTCAGAGCCAGAAGGGAGTGCAGGGAATCATCGTGGTGAACACAGAAGGTATGCCCTCCCTCCGGCCATGACCTGCATGCAAGCGGGCCCCAGAAAACAGCCCAAACACAACATAACACTTGCTGTTTACTAAGCCCCTTTATGTGCATGAATTTTCATCCCCGGCCCTTTTTTAAAAATTTTTAAATTTTTTTTTTTATCCTCACTCGAGGACATTTTTTTGCATTTATCTTCAGATAGAGCAGGAAGGAGAGAGGGGCTAAGAGAGAGAGAGAGAGAGAGAGAGAGAGAGAGAGACATTGATGTGAGAGAGACACATCGACTGGCTGCCACCCACACAACCCCAACCTGAGCCGGGGACAAACTGCAACCGAGGTACGTGCCCTTAGCGGGAACCGAACCCGGGACTCTCTGGTCCGCAGGCCGACACTCTAACCGCTGAGCCAAACCGGCCAGGACAATTTTTTTTTATTTTTTAGGGAGAGGAAGGGGGAGGGAGAGAGAAATAGAAACATCGATGAGAGAGAACATCGGTTGGCTGCCTCCTGCATGCCCCCCCGCAGGGGATTGTGCCCACAACCCATGCATGTGCCCTCACTGGGAATCGAACCAACGACCTCTTGGTGCATTGGCTGGCACTCAACCACTGAGCCACACCAGCTGGGCTCATCCCCCCCCCTTTTTTTTCTAACACCTTCAGTGTCCTAGCCCTATTATTGAAATTCTAAATTTTAAGAAAGGAAAAATTCACTTAATCCCACTGCCCTGACAAATCGTACTTTTCAGCCCTTGTTCAGGTGCGTTTTCTGTTGGTCATAATGATAGTTCTTACTCTTTTGCATGTGTTTACTCATGAGGTTTGTTTGTTTGCTTCATGGTTTACATAAGCAAAAATTTTTAACTGTCATATAATATTTATGAATCATCCTCATTTATGCTGTTTTTACTTTTTTGCTAGATAATACTTTGGTTAACTTCTTTTTGACTATAGCTTTTTCCTTCTCTTCTGTAATGTTATTTCAACAACTAGAAAAGTACAGATACTACTTTTCCCAAACTGCTATACACCTGGCAAAGAGTGAGAATAACATTTCTCACATACCTACCTATTCTGTGCCAGGCTATGAACTGGCGCTTTACAAACATTCTGTTTCATTTATTCCTTAAAGCAACCCTGTTGTCTCCATTTTGTGGTGGAGAAAACTGAGTCTAGAAATGTTGTTGATTTGCCTGCCCTTACAGAGTCAAGATTTCATTCCAGGTCTGTCTGAATGCACTGTGTTCTTTCTCCCCCACTGCTGTGAAGGACCAGAGAGTGGCCACAGGTCTGTGGCCAAGGGTCACCCAGCTGACTCCCCCAGTTCTCTAGTGCAGTGCATTTATTCATCTCTGACTTATTCAAGGTTCCTTGACAGCCCCTGCATGTATGCGTTGTCATTCTGGGCCTTGTTTTGGAAAGGCAGAATTCTCAATAGTGCCTACTTCAGTAGAGCAGAATGAAGGTCACCAGAGGTGACAGAGTGGAGGTGGCATGTCCTCAATTAGAATGTTGTTTTCCCAGTCATTAGACCCTGGCCAGCCCAGAGTTAGGCAGAGGATGCTCCCCAGCTTTGTCAATCTCTAATTAGACCATGTGGTCATTGCATTCAAACGAGGCACAGGTTGGGAGCACTCAGGACTCTGTGGGTGGCCATAGCAAGTCCCAGCTTAGGTCTGCTATGATCAGCTGGTGGGCCCGGGGCTTCCCCTTCTCCTCTTCAGACCTCAGCTGCCCCAAGTGGAGTGGTTGGTCCAACACCGGAAAGACTGTTTGTATATCATTCAGAGAGAGACTGTCTTCTCGGACTGGACTTTTTTTTTTTTTTTTTTAATCCTCACCCGAGGACACGTTTTAATTGATTATAGAGAGAGAGGGAGGGAGAGAACGAGAAATGTTGACGTGTGAGTGAAACATCAATCGATTGCCTCCTGCACGTGCCTGACCAGGGATCAAACTTGCAACCCGGGTATGTGCCCTGATTGGGAATTGAACCCATGACCTTTCGGTGTATGGGATAATGCTCCAACTGAGAGCCACACTGGCCAGGGCTGGGACTGGACATTTTTGACCCAGAATGGGAGGAAACAGCCTCAGGAGATGACTCCCAGCTGGGACCCCTAGGCTTTCACTAGTATTTGCAAACCATGAGCCTTCATTCCTGCCTTAAAACTGCCCAAAAGTTGAGCTTTTTCATTGGGAAAGTATAGCCCCAACTGCTTATCCTTTGATACCAGTGAACACTTTTTTGTATACTAATGTGGCAGTATTGCGCAGTGGCTTAGAATATGAATGTGGAACCAGACTATTTGGATTTGAATCCTGTCTCTACTTACTTTACTTATCAGCTGTGAAATCTTGGACAAGTTACTTAACCTCTCTCTTGTAGTTTTTCATCAGTGAAACATAGTCATACTACCTTCCTCTAAGGGAATCTTTTAGAATAGTGTCTGATATATAGTAAATGCCATATAAATGTTAACATTATCGTGTGTGTTTATTTTTATGTCCCATTCATAGAGCTCACTCTTCAATCTCTCGTTTACATTTCACACAGTGACCCCTGCAAGGCAGGGGTGTTTGACCATTTTTCAGATGAGAAACCTGAAGCTGAGAGATGTGAGGTGACCTGCCCAAGATCACCCAGCTGTGGATGGGGGTGGCCAGAACTCACTGCTCATGGGGCCTTGAAGCCCTCTGGAAACTTCCAATTAAGGATGATTCAGCTCAGCTTGCCTTTTCCTGCAGGATGCCTTCTGTGACCACCCCAGCCCAGAGTGATTGTTCTTGCCCTTGAACTCATGACACACCCTTGTTCCAATCACTTACCAACCACCTGCCACTGCATTTTGTCATCTCTGTCTTGGTCAAATGCAAATGATGTTTCATTATAAAAGTGTGAGTTTTAGCCAACTTAGCAAGAACTTAAGGAACATTCTGTTCCATTTATATCTCTCCAAAACCCCTGCTATTGTCCTCTGCTGCTACCTACACAGAGCAAAATAAAAGACTAAATGTGTAAGCTCCACAAGGACAGAGATGTGTCGCTTGTGTTCACTACTGTATCCCCAGCAGCTGGAACAGTGCTGATACAGAGTTTGTGCTTAATAACCATCTGTTAAATTAGTTAATTCTGTTGTTGTCATTGTTGATGGATGAAGCTGGGTTTGGTGGAAGGACCTGGCTATACAACCTGACAGGTCTGAGCCTCAGGTTAGAGATTGTGGCTCCCCAGTACCAGCCAACTCTGCAGGCTGCACAGTCCCCGTCTGTGAAGGTGACCTAATCATTGGGATATCTTTGAAGTGTCCCCAGCTCTGGCATCCTGTGAATCTGGCATTCTGTGATCTCCTACCTTTATTTGAAATTTTCTCTTGCTTTGTTCCCTGCCCCACTGCCACCTTCATGTTTTTAAAATGTCCCAACAAGTGGTTAGAGTCTTGTCTCCTTTACACACCTTCTCACTTGGTAGGAATGTAATCAAACTCATGTCTAAACTACTGAAAGTAGCCCTTGTGACTTCTCATTTATTAGTAGCAATATATGCTTAATGCAGTCTCTCTAAGGACACTGGTGAACAAATCAGATCTGGTCCTGGCTGGGGACAAACATAACGATCACTTTTATAAAGGGATGTCAAACTCAAGTAACTGTTCCAAAAAAAATTTTGTGGCATTGACCACATCTGGGGTGGGTGGAGCCACCAGAAGATTGAGAGCTGAGGGACCAGTGGGAGTTGTGAGAGGAGGGTTCCAGGCAGGGGAACCTGAGAGAAGGTGTCCTTGTATATAAAAGAGAGGGTCAAGAGGTTTGATCACCTAAACTTTGCCAGGCCTTGAGACTGGCCCCTCAAGTTACCTAGGGGATGGGATTTATTGTGTGGATGATGTTTATAACAAACCACCAACATTTATTGCATGCATACTCTTGCTAAACATTCTTAAACCATATTTAATCCTCACAGCAGCACTTTGAAGCACAGGCATTTTACAGATAAGAAAATGGAGGAATAGAGAGTTTAAATCACTTGTCTAAGGCCATATAGCCATCAATGGGCAGAGCAGGAGTATAAGTTGAGGTCATCAGATTTCAGAGTTCCTACTCAGTCATCAACCCTGTTGCTCATACTCCCATCCTTAGAAAGTTTCCAGTATTGAGGGAGGTTCTGGTGGGTACATTATTGCCAGCTAGTACTCAATAGCACCCCTGATGACCTAGTTGTCTTGTCTCTTAAAAGCAAGTGATCTCTTCAACCTGTTCTCATTACTTCAGTTGGCTTACAACAGCCTCACTGATTCAGCTGCTCCTCTTGCCACTATGTCTTCTTCTGCCCACTCTCTTGTTGCTGTGCCCTAAGAAGACAAGGTTGGGCCAGTTTCTTGCAACTCATGGGTAGGCCAACTCATGACTGCCTTTGGCTAATCCTTAGGCTGGTCAGTTACAGACCAGATTAGCAGGGCCTCATCCCAAATCTAGCCCCTTCTGTGTGAGGAGCTGTTTGTGCCACATTCATCACAAGTGCCTGTCAGCTGTGGGTACCTGAGGTCTCACTGATGGAGCCTTCTATTGACATGTCACAGTGATTCATTGGCACCTGATGATCCATTTGTGGCCTGAGGTCACTCAAGCTGAGCCCCATTCCACACCTCCATGACAATAGGCACTGTCCTGTGAGAGAGATCCACATAATGGTTCATCGCAAGGAAACAGTCTTCAAAACAGACAAGACTTGATGCACACTGGTGTTCACTGCACAGTAATTAAGTAAAAAATGAAGCCTTAGTATCCACCAGTGGAGGCATGATGAACTCAGTGGAATGGCCACTGTGGGCTCTTTGAAAGCAGTAGCAGTGCTGTTTACGAGGGTGTATGCAGACCGAGAAATGGGCTTAATTTTCATGTGTACAGACAGTGTGTTTGCAGATGGGCCCTAAGCCTCCCTTAGTGGGAACAGGAACAACGCACTAGTGATGGTTATGTCTTGGCACAAGATGATCATTTTTCTCCTTCCTACTCTTCAGTGTTTACAGATTTATAAGAGCTGTGTTCCTTGTTCAGATTCTAAGTGTTCTGACTGATAGTCTCCTTTAATGCCAGAAACTAGTCAGGACAGTGTTACCCTGAGAAAGGAGCCCAGCAGTGGAGCCAGCAGGCCCACATCGAATCCTGGCCCCACTGCCCATGTGCTATGTGACTGTTAGCAGGTCACGTACTGTTCAGAGTTTCTGTTGCCTCATTGGCAAATGAAATGGTGACACCACCCTCAGAGTAGTTCTGGGGACTGGCTGTAACATACTTGCAGCACTCAGCACTGTGCCTGCCAAGCCTCCAGTAAATGGTGGCATTGATTAAGTGCCAGTCCAGTGCTCTAGAATTAGGGGTATGGGGTTGGGAGCCAGGTAGAAAGGCCTCAACATCCTGCTCAGTCTCTGTCTGCTCTCTACTCAGGCATTCCCATTAAGAGCACCATGGACAATCCTACCACCACCCAGTACGCCAACCTCATGCACAACTTCATCTTGAAGGCCCGGAGCACTGTTCGTGAAATTGACCCCCAGAATGACCTCACTTTCCTTCGAATTCGCTCCAAGAAAAATGAAATTATGGTTGCACCAGGTAAGAGGACTTTCACATCCCCTCTTAGGATCCAACTGTCACAGCACATGCTTCATAGCTGATCAGGAAGGCTTAGCATATTGGCGTCTCCTCAAGTTCCACAGAAAGGCCTAAAGAGTTGAAGATACAGAGTTGGTTGCCTCACTGCCTGTCCAGTCTCTGCCTGGCATCTCCAAGAAATACTCATTTACAGTAACTGGGTCAGACCCTGTCCAGGGTTCTAGGCCTTAGAGGGGAATCCTGGTCTCATGAGAGAGATAGACATGGAAACATGACACAGTGTAACCCTTGCCTTGATGTGGAGACATTCAATGAGCGCTTGGAAATGTAGAGGAGGGTGTGATTAGGCCTGCTTGGGGCCGTCAACAGAGACTTGCTAGAAAGGGGACATTTTAGCTGCATGTTGAGGGCACAGGAAAGAGTGTAAGCAGGGTGGAGGGGCAAGAAAGCTAGGTTTGAAGGGAAAAGATTCAGTGATTCTAAACCAAAGCAGAAGGTAAAAATACTGTGAAGTCCTTTTATCTTTTTTTATTAATCCTCACCTGAGGATATTTTTTCCATTGCTGTTTAGAGAGTGGGTGGGAGGGAAGAAGGGAAGGGGAAAAAGAGAGAAGCATCGATGTGAGAGGTACACATAGAGTGGTTGGCTCCTGCACATGCCCCAACAGGCCAGGGATCAAACCTGCAACCCAAATACATGCCCTTGACCAGGAATCAGACTCGTGACCCTTTGGTCTGCAAGCCAACGCTCTAACTACTGAGCCAAACTGGCCAAGGCTCGTCATTTTATCTTTGAAAAAATGTTCAGCCCTGGCCAGTTTGGCTCAGCAGTTAGAGCGTCAGCCTGCGGTCCGGAGAGACCCGGGTTCGGTTCCCGCTAAGGGCACATACTTCGGTTGCAGTTTGTCCCCGGCCCTGGTTGGTCGTGCAAAATGTTCAGTTGCCTGCTTCTAATGTACAGTCCTGTCTCAGGCCTCATAGAGCCAGCTTTTCCTCCAGCATTGGAACCAGTTGCTGCTTTGGTTCCACATGAAGTGCTTGGCTTATACTTGGGATCTGTGTGGTATAAACACCTGTCTCTAGGTCTTAAGATTATTCTCAGGGTAATGAGATGCTTACCCTGGGAGGAGCCCGCAAGGACTGGGACCACAGGAGGGAGCAGCAGGACTGGTTTTGCATTGCTACTTGTTTCTCTCCCTCTCTTTTTGGCTGAGCCACGTGGTTGTGTGCGTGAGTGAAGTGTACACGTGATGATGCAGGTAGGCTGTGCAGTTTGTCCAGGGCACCAGAGTATGTTTTGGAAGGAGTGGGAGGTGAGACGGTCCAATTTAGAAAAGGCCTCAAACACCAAAGTCGGTTGTGGCCTGACCCTGTGAATGGAAGTAATATGATTGTGATTGAGGCCTAGACAAAGAAGGCAATGGGAGGGTGGGGGTGGCTGGGGACACTGAATGCCCCTGGTCTTGGCAGCACAGATAGCAAAGAGACTGGCTACAGAATTTGGGGGTAATTTGATGGAGAGGGGGGTCACACACTCCCAGCAGTGGAGATTGGTTCTGTTCCCAGGCTTGTTCCAGCCCAGTCTGGCAGCTTGGAAGGATGTGAAGGAGGGGCCTATAGAGCCAGTCACAGGACTCCACAGTCTTCCTGACTGAGACACTCTCTGGAGGTGTGGGGACAGAGTAGGCCAGTCTCAGAAAAGAATGTACATAGGGTAACTTCAGAGTCATTTATTCCAAAAACATGCTGTACACTGTTATCAGTTTAATCACTGATGGTGTCTCTGATTCTATAGGGAATACAGGTTGTAGCAGGCAGAGTTCATTTTCCCAGCTTTAGCTTTTAATGAATGTGACCTTAAGCAAGTCATAGAATACCTCTGAACCTCTGTTTTCACATCTGTAAAGTGTTGCACAGGGGGCTGTACTGCTCTGGTCCTCTGAGAGACCCCATCTGGTTGATGTGTTGGCAGAGGGTGGAGAGGGCTCAGAAGCAGAATTAAACTCAAGTCCCTCCCAAGACTTCATGCTATGTGACTACAGAAACCTCCATTTCCCTAAAAGTTAGGCTAGGAATGGTCCCTGTGCTGACCATGCACGTCAGAGCAGTCCACAGGGAGCTCTCAGTGTGAGGCAAGGACAAACTGCAGTCTCCATATCTGACCAACAGTGTCTCTAGACCTAAAGCGTCCAAGAACAGCCTCCTCTGGAATAGTAGTTATCTGAGAGCTCCTGGCCATTTTGCCCCAGCTCAGCAGCAAAGGCATCTCCACCTTGCCCTTGAGGGACCCACAGGCTTTCAAAGTTCATGGATGTAGGGGCCCAGAGACCCCTCAGCCTTGTCAGTGGAGGCAAGGGTCAGTTGACCCTTGCCCTGGTGACACAGAGGCCTGCAGGGAGGGTATGCATGCTCTCTCGGTTGCTTGCTCGCTCACTGTCTCGCACTCACATCCTCATGGGCCCCCCACACACACATCTTGTTCTGCTGGAGGAGTGTGTGACTTTTCCAAGTTGCCTTAAATACCGTGAGTGTTCCTTCTGAACACCCTCATCACTTCACCACCTTGCTGCCTTTCAGAGCCTCTCCCTGGGCCCTCCTGCTGTTGGCAACACTTCCATTTGCCTTCTTTAAGTCTGTCTCCCCCACTAGACAGAGGACAGAGACTCATAAACACATAGTAAGCATTTGACAGGTATTTGTTGAATAAATAAATGAAAGACTTCCTAAACCTCCCTCCATTGCTGCCACCCTACTGTGGGGGTTAGAGGTGGGGTCTGCAGTGGAGATGGGGATCAGGGACATTCTTGGGATATGTTTTTAAGGATGAAAACCAGTGATACAGGGGGAGGGGGGAATCAGTGGGGGAAAAGGAGAAACATCTGTAACAAAAATTAATTAATAAAAAAAAAGAAAAGAAAACCAGTGATACAAAGTCGGTACACCCACTTTGATATGGCAAGAAAAATATAATACTTTGTCAGAAGCCACTGAACAGAGTCTCTGAGCATTAGGGCTGGATTGCTGTAGGATTTCCATAGAGCACAGGCCTGGCTGCTGTGCGTATTTGGGGTGAGCCCTTCTGGGACTATATTAGCACCCCACATTGTGGAAGCAACCTGGAGCATCCGTGCCCAGGAAGGAGGTCTACTTTCCTTTCTTCCTATCTGAGTTTCCTCATTGATCAAACTGAGAAGAACAAAAATAACAGCAGATGGTTTCAGACAGTGTTGTTCTCCACATCGGTACCAAATTTCACTCCATCCTGACCCAGAATAGCCCATATGAAGAGATTTTTTTTAAAAAATATTTTTTCTTTATTGATTTTAGAGAGAGAGGAAAGAAGAGGGAGAGAGAGAAACATCGATGAGAGAGAACGATTGTTTGCCTCCCATAGGATTGGGCCCACAACTTGGGCATGTACCCTGACCGGGAATCAAACTGGTGACCTTCTTGGTGCATGGGTCAATGCTCAACCACTGAGCCACACCAGCTGGGCCATATGAAGAGATTTTAGACAGACTTTGAGCCTGGCCGGTGTGGCTCAGTGGATTGATTGAGTATCGTCCCATGGAGTATGAGGTCCTGGTTTGATTCCCTGTCAGGGCACATGCCCAGGTTGTGGGCTCGATCCCCAGTAGGGAACATGCAGGAGGCAGCTGATTGATGTATCTCTCACACATCGATCTTTCTCTTTAAAAAAAAGACTTGGGCCCTGGCCAGTTTGGCTCAGCGGTTAGAGCGTTGGCCGTGGACCAGAGAATCCCGGGTTCGGTTCTTGCTGAGGGCACGTACCTTGGTTTCAGTTTGTCCCCAGCCTCAGTTGGGGTCGTGTGGGTGGCGACTACTCAATGTGTCTCTTTCACATCGATGTTTCTCTTTCTTTCTTCCTCCTCCTCTTTCTCCTGCTCTATCTGAAGATAAGTGCAAAAAATGCCCTCAGGTGAGGATTAAAAAACAAAACAAAGAAAAAGATTTGGGTTTTCACTTATTAACCTCACTGATGTAAAGGTGAGTTGACAGTGTAATCAAGCTTTAAATTCTGCTTTCCACAAAGCACTTGGAGTGATACTACTGAATATAGAGCTTTATTATTTGGAAGAAAAGACTAGTATTGCTAGTTATGTATGCTTTTATTGGTGGCTTTAATTATTTTTATTTTTATTAGTAAGTGATTATTTATTTACACAGATTGTTTAGCCATGAAAATATTAGATCTGCTTCTTCCCAGTCCCATCAGCCAGCTGTCATGGGAATAAGCAAGCTTTAGGCTTAAATCAGCAGACACAAAGCTGATGTGGCTGAGGTCCTGCCATTTCTCGTTTTTGTTTTTTTTTTTATCCTCACCCAAGGACATTTTTCTATTTTTTTGTTCAGATAGAGTGGGAGGGAGAGAGAGGAAGAGAGAGAAAGAGAGAAACATCGACGTGAAAGGGACACATTGAGTGATTGCCACCCACACGACCCAGCCAGGGCCGGGGACAAACTGCAACCGAGGTACGCGCCCTTAGCAGGAACCGAACCCAGGTCTCTCTGGACCACAGGCCAATGCTCTAACCGCTGAGCCAAACTGGCCAGGCCTCCTGCCATTTCTCTTCTGCTCAGCAAAACGGTCAGACCCAGCTACCCCACCCTGCATTTTGGCCTTGGCTTGAGCAAGACATTTAACTCTCTGAGCCTCAGTGTCCTCACTTATAAAAGGAGAAGACACTAGTACCTGCCTCATAGAGTGATTTGAGGATTCATTGAGGTGCCATATGAGAAGTGTTTTGGCCCAGGGCCAGCCACATGGAAGCCCTGGTAATGTTTGTGATTTGATCATTAAGTGGGCAGAGTTGAAATACTGCTTCTCTAGTTTCCTCTTCCATAAAATGAGGGGTAGTCAGGCTCAGCCTTGAGGTCTTGGACTTGCAGTGATTTCATGATGGACATTCCTCCTTACTAGATAGGATCCCCAGAGCTGGAATCCAGGTAGCTTTGGCCCCTTTTGATCTGTGCCTTTGAACTTTTTTCATCCAGCCTGTGACAGAACTGACATTAAGTCAAGAGCAGTGGAGTTGAGGTTGCCCTTGCCCTGGCCGGTTTGGCTCAGCGGTTAGAGTGTTGGCCTGCAGTCCTGAGAGACCCGGTTTCGGTTTCCGCCAAGGACACGTACCTCGGTGGCAGTTTGTCTCTGGCCCTGGTTGGGTCTTGTGGGTGGCAACCACTAGATGTGTCCCTTTCATGTCGATGATTCTCTCTCTCCCTCCCTCCCACTCTATCTGAACAAAAAATGAAAAAAATGTCCTCGGGTGAGGATTAAAAAAAAAAGGTACATGCCTTTAGCCAGAACCAAACCCGGGACTCTCCGGTCTGCGGGGTCGACGCTCTAACCACTGAGCCAAACAAGCCAGGGCGACCTTCCATCTTTGACACTAATTTAATGAGTGACGTTAAACTAGAGGTTTCGCCAGAGCTTGCAACTTCAGTATCACCTGGGTACTTGTTAAATACAGATTCTCTGGCTCTACCCTAGACCTACTGAATCCAAAGAGCTGGGGGTGGGGCCCAGCAGAGTGTGTTCTAAGCACAGCCCTCAGGTAAGTAGGATGCCCTCCGTTTTGAGAGCCACTGCCACAGGCAGATTATTTAAACTCTCAGAACCTTTCACATCGATGTTTCTCTCTCTCTCTTCCTCTCTCTCCCTCCCACTCTATCCTAACAAAAAATGAAAAAATGTCTTCCGGTGATAAAAAATAAAAAAATGGCCCTGCCGGTTTGGCTCAGCGATTAGAGTGTCGGCCTGCGGTCCAGAGAGACCTGGGTTCGGTTCCCGTTAGGGGCATGTACCTCGGTTGCAGTTTGTCCCTGGCCCTGGTTGGTCGTGCGGGTGGCAGCCACTCGATGTGTCCCTTTCACGTTGATGTTTCTCTCTTTCTCTCTCTTCCTCTCTCCCTCCCACTCTACCTGAACAAAAAATGGAAAAAATGTCCTCGGGTGAGGATAAAAAAAAATAAAAATAAAAATAAAAATAAAAAAATGAACTCTCAGAACCTGAGTTGCCCTACCCAGAAAACAGAGATGACATCCTACCTCCCTATTGGTACTGGGACGATCAGAAGCCAGAACGCACAGCAGAGGTGCCAGATCACATTTACAGGAGCCCCACAGAGACTTGCCAGCTTACCTCTATTTCCCAGCAACTGGAAGTAACCTGAGCACTGATGCTTTGTATTCACCCTGCCCCGTTTTATGATTGGTGATTTAATGATTTATTTCCTTTCTAGTGTGTTTTTCTAGAATTTTACATTTAGTGATTTATTTTTTCATCTTTCTCTTTTGCAGATAAAGACTACTTCCTGATTGTGGTTCAGAATCCAACTGAATGAGCCACTCTCTTGGCTCCCCACGTCATTCCTTAATTCAGTGTCCCCAAGAATAATAGTGTTAATCATGTCAACCAATTGGCAGGTAGAAATCACCTTAGAGCTCATGTAGACCAATCCAGTGACCAAGGTGGGCTGCAGCTCCACCTCATCTCACCAAAGTCATCCCTCTGCTGGCCAGTTGCCCCTGAGTTCCCAGGAGGACCCTCTTTTTTCAAGTCCAGGTTTTGGAGCAAGAGCTTGTGAGAGTTCCACACCCTGCTTCCTTCTGACCTTCAGTTCACTTTGTTGCCCTTGGAGAAGGCTGTTTTTCTTGAACTAAAAATAATTGAAACATGCCCTGTTGTGTGTCTTTAAACACTAGGTGGAAAAGGCCTCTCTCTTTCTGCGTCATCACGTGGTCTGAAGGCTGAGCCCCAGTGCCACCTCAGCCTCCACAGCAGGCTGTGTCCATAGCTTGAGAGGCCTGCTACTTGATTGCACTTGTGGCCATGCTTGCTGAGCCTGGTTTATAATCAGTTCCCTGGTTTCCGGGTCTCTTGTCCTTAGCCATCCCTTTTATCAGTTACCACTCCCGCCAATGTTTGTTTTTTGTTTGTTTTAATTCTCATGCAAGGACATGCTCAGAGAGAGGAGAGGAAGGGGAGAGAGAGTGAGGGAATTGCCTTCTGTATGCTCCCCAACTGGGGATCAAACCAGCAACTTCGTGGATGCTCGGGACAGTACTCAACCAAATGAGCCACTCTGGCCAGTCTACCACCAATGTTTTAAGAGATTTTTTTCGGAGAAACATCTGTAACAAAAATTAATTAATAAAAATGAATAAATAAATAAAAGATTTTTTTTGCCTAGGCAGTTTGGCTCAGCGGTTAGAGCATCAGCCTGTGGTCCAGAGAGACCCGGGTTCGGTTCCCGCTAAGGGCACGTACCTTGGTTGCAGTTTGTCCCCGGCCCTGGATGGGTCGTGCGGGTGGCAGCCACTCGATGTGTCCCTTTCACGTCGATGTCACTCACTCTCTCTCTCTCTCTCTCTCTCTCTCTCCCCCCCTCCCTCCCTCCCTCCCTCCCACTCTATCTGAACAAGAAATGGGAAAAGGTCCTCGGGTAAGGATAAAAAAAAAAAAAAGGAAGTTGGAGTCTAGAGAATGATTTGCCCAAGGTCTTACAGCTGGGAGCATAGGTCTTTGATTCCAGAAGTTCTGCTCTTTCTTCACTGCCTTCCCAAGAAATCCTGGGTAAACATCCACCTTCCCTTAGACTTGTGCATAGAGGTCCCAGAAAGTGCCTGCTCCTCTGTGACCCTAGGCCACCCTTCATTCAGCAGCACTCTGGGATTTTTCCTCCAGAAACTACATGTATTTCATTTTTATTAGGTTTTTCTTTTTGTCTTTTGTTTCTTGTTAAAGAGGGAAAATATTTAAAACTGTTTGGTACAAACCTTGAAATTCCCCTTCATTGTCCTCCTTTCCCCATAAGTAACCTCATCTACAGTGTGAGTTCTTCCATCTAGCAAAATACTTTCCTAATTTCCCCGTGACGTTTCCTGAAACAATACCAGGGAAGTAAAACGTGTACCCTTGGGGCTCTAGGGGTGTCGTTTATAAGGGCTCGAAAAATTTCTTCAAAATCTCCTATTTTAGTGAAAGCATAGGAATTTTCCATTCTATAATTTATCTGTGTTTGTCTTAATTTAGAAATAAGCCTTACAGATAATTTTTCCCAAATTTTCAAGTAGAACATTCCCTGTATATGTGCTCTGTCCCTGTATACTCAGGAATACACCCTGAAGAGGGGGGTCGCAGGACTGGAGCAAAGTGACCCTGGATCCGCAATTATCCGCGATTCAGTTTTATTTACTTATTAATAATTTTTCTTTATTGATTTTAGGGAGAGAGAGAGAAAAACATTGATGAGAGAGAACATCAATTGGCCGCCTCCTGCATGCCCCCCACTGAGGATCAGGCCCACAACCCTGGCATGTTCCCTGACCGGGAATTGAACTGGCGACCTCTTGGTACATGGATCCACGCTCAGCCACTGAGCCACACCAGCCAGGCATCCGCGATTCAGTTTTTAAAAAGGTGTGGTGACCAGTATCTTCTCTTTGTTCTCAGAGGCTGTGGGTGGTTGGGATCCAAGTCTGAGGTTCCTGTGTCCTTCTGGCTTGAGTTTCTCCTAGAATAATGGGGGAAGAAGGTCTGATGGTGGGTAGGGAGGTCAGGTTTCTAGAGGAGAGAAAGGCCTCTGTCCCTTGGGGAGGAGGTAGTGTGGTTCCTGAGCAAGGATTTGGGGACCTGGCCTTCCTCTCTTCCCTTAGTCTCTCTCCCTCTTGTTTGCCTTAAAGTTCCCCATCCTAAAACTCCCTCAAGAAAAGTTTTGGCTTAGTCTGGCTTTGGGGGAAAACAGGTGGCTCGTGACCATAACGATGCTCTGTCTCCTAGCCCCTCAGGAATAGGATTTCGCACATGGGAAGCCGCCATGGATGCATTCCAGTTTCTCATGCTGCATGTAGAGGTGGACTCATCTTAAGACATAAAAACGCATGTTTTTAAAAGCCTAAATAATGGTATAACACATGCAAACATTCTATAGCATTTCCATAATTAAGAGGAGTTTGTGTGCAAGAATACAACATCTACCATAAACTGACTGCTGTCCTGGGTATGGAGGGATAGGCATGGCTTCTGAATTTCAGAAATATATATGCCTATAACAAGGGTGTTCCTGCTCCCAGTGTTATGAAAAATTTAACACAGAGTTGAAACAATTATATATTCTTAATTTTATTCTATAATTAACATTCTGTCATATCTATCACATACCTCTTCATTCTTTTTTTTTTTTTTTTAATCCTCACCTGAGGGTATTTTTCCATTTTTTGTACAGATAGAATGGGAGGGAGAGAGAGGAAGGGAGAGAGAGAGAGAAACATCGATGTGAAGGGACACATCAAGTGGCTGCCACCTGCACGACCAACCAGGGCCGGGGACAAACTGCAACTGAAGTACATGCCCTTAGCGGGAACCGAACCCGGGTCTCTCCGGACTGCAGGCCGACACTCTAACCGCTGAGCCAAACTGGCCAGGGCACATACCTCTTCATTCTTCTGTCCATCCCCCCCACTGTTTTTTGGTGCATTTCAAAGGACAGTTGCAGACAGTATACATTCCTAAACACATCAATGTCCATATCTTGAACTAGTTTACCTCATTTTTGGAAGGTGGGTAAATAAAGATTTACATATAATGAAATACACAAATCCTAAATGTACCACTTAAGTGACTGTGGACACCTGTCAACCCAATCCCCCCTTTCAAGATCACATCACCCCAGAAAGTTCTGCTGCTTCTCAGCCCATATCCACACCTCCCCAAATGAGCCCTGTTCTGATTCCCATCAGGCATGAATTTCACCCTCCAAGGTACAGCTCTTGGCTAGGGTCCAGGTAGAGGCCTGCAGTTGAGGGAAGGGGTTGTCTCGGAAAATGCAGCAGTTGCTCCCACCTCCATTCACCATTCACTTCCCACCACCACCACCTCAGCACTTGCCACTGTTTCTTGGAAAAATTTTTTTTTTAATGTTATTGTTGATTTTAGAGAGAGAGGAAGAGAGAAACATCCATAAGAGGTCAGCTGCCTCCTGCACGCTCCCTACTAGGGAGTGAGCCTGCAAACTGAGCATGTGCCCTAACTGGGAATCGAACCAGCAACTTGTCGGTGACGACACTCAACTACCTGAGCCACACTGGCCAGGGCTGTTCCTTGGAATTCGGATGTTCTTCTGTGAGCTGGTATCACCTTTTCTCCAAAAAGTGTGTTTTTAGAACACTAGGAATTGTAGGCTTTCTCCCCTTTCATATGTTTGACCTTCAGATCAGCTGTACTTTTGTGCACTTTTTCATTGAGAATCCTAAACCATCTTTCCATACCAAATTCAGGCTCTAGTGAAGTACCAGAGGGAAAAAACATGGAGATCTCATAAATTCGATCATTTGCAGCAGGTATAAATTAAGTTGCCAAACACATCAAATTGGTGAACGCATTTCAATGTCAATGAACTTTAGCTGATCACTCATTCAATTAAGAAGGAAAATAATATATTCAAAGTACTAGTCCTGTTATGTTAAACAAGCTCAATTGGATCAAAGACCAACTTTATCTTGGTCTCCCACTGTATAAACTTCAGTGGGGCTCGTTCTTCTGTCCCTGGATGGAATGTAGGAAAGTCCCAGGCTTCACCCATCTCTTTTGGATACCAAAGGCCCTCCCATCAGTAGATGATGTGTCCAGTCCAATGTAACAACAAAGCCTTTGAACTGCATTTGGAGATAAAGCCCACCCCTTCCCCAGCTTGGGCCTGCTGTCATCCTTGCCCCTCCCAGTGTGGGTAGAGGGAGGAAGCAGCAAGTGCTTGGCCTTGGCTTTGTTTCCCCACCTTGTACTGTCACCTCATCCCCTATTGCTAAGAGAGGAGGGAGATGGGGAGAGGAAAGTTCATACTTTACCAGTGCTGTTGTGACCTGGCTTCTGGTTCTCTGAGCCTGGTGTGTGTTTAAAGCTGAAACCTGTGCTTCTGGTATATCTTTCATGAGCTTTCAAAGGCCTGCCCTTTGTCCCCCAACTCCATCCACTTCTCTTGTCTTACTACCTTCCATTCCCTTACTTTGGATGATGTAGTCTCTTTGGCTGGCTCCGTATAACTTTTCTTTTGTCCCTTGGTTCAGAGTCTCCCTCTGTGGACTCACAGTGAAGCAGAATCACCCACCCACCACCTCTTTCCATGGGTGGTGGGAGTCATAACACATCACCAGCTTCTGAAAATTGTTGTCTAACTTCCAGCTGTTTCTTAGGCTAACGATCAGGCAGAAATCTGAACTCACTTTGGGCCACCTTCTTAGTCCTGCGTTGGTCCTGCTCCTTTCCTTGATACACAGCAACTATGGCCTTGGGGTTACAGCAGAAACTGAGATGAAAATAATTAAACATCCTAGTACACAAGAAATATGTTAAAGGCTGCCTAAAAGGTGAGATGAAATAGGGAATTTCATAATTTTAACTTTCTGAGTTTTAAATACATTTTAACATGCAAGACTATTGTTTGACTTCCAGGTATTAGGTTTTCAGATATATTTAGGGAAAACATGAACAAAAGTAGATTGCTGGTAAGTTGTTCTTATTTTACAACTTTCTGTTACAAAATAGTGCTTTATTCATTTATTCATTCAGCAGTTATTTAGTGAATGCACCAGGCCTTAGTCTAAACATGAAGGAGATGATGACAAGTGCTTATTCCTAGTGGAGATGAGACAGCCAATTAAAAAAAACTATGCTTGGGACCCATCCTAGCCCAATTAAATTATATTCCCTGAGAGTAATCCTTGGGCAGTATTAGTTTAAAAGAGCTACCCAGGTTTTTATGATGACATGCAACTCAGGTTGAGAACTGGCATAGCACCTTCTATGCCATGGTTAAGAGTAGAAGAGGCTATAACAAAAATATTCAGAGATAAGGAAGAACTCTTGAAAGATAAAAAATATGAAGGGATTCAACAGAAGAGTTGCTAGATGAAATTGAGAAAATATCAAAAATGTGGAAGAGAAAGTGTAAGAAAATTTAAAGGATCAGTCTAGTATATTCAACATCTGATTAACAGGAGTCCCAG